CCTCCTCCTCCTCCTCCTCCTCCTCCTCCTCCTCCTTTCCCTCTTCCTCGTCTTCCACTTCAACATCATTACCTTCGCTGTCCACCCGACCAGATTTACATTCTTCATCAGAGCTACTATCTTGATTCGGAGAATCAGTGTCCGATAATGATGCTGTAGCAGACTCACTATCGGATGACATATGTTCCTCCTCTTCCCTAAATCTACGATTAATGCGTTGCCTAGTATTCCGCACAGATACTTGGCGACCGCGCCCCCGACCGCGCCTATTCATTGATCTCATTGGACCCTTACTCGCTATCCGCCTAGAATTGCTATTGCTGTTATTAACCTGATTCTGAGCATCCTCGCGAGTAAAAGTGAGTGGATTCTCGTCGTCATCGGTCATACGCAAATGGCGTTCCTCTTCCTCACGCATCGCTCTAAGTCGATCCAACTCCCATTCCTTTTTTTGTTCTTCCAATTCACGCTCCGCTGCGGCGAGTTGGGCTGCAGAAAAGGTTCCATCTGACTCCTCAACAAATCGCATAGCATAACGCTCAACCGGAGTCAACTAAATAGGAAAAAAATATAATTATTTTTTTTTTTAAATAAACTCTAACTATACCTTGCTTTATCTGATATATTCAACTTAATTCCGAAAAAAACTACATTTAAAATGTTTTATAATATAAAAATTTGTATACCCATTGGTTTTATAATTTATGCTTTATTTAATGACAATTGTTATAACTTATAAATATATATGTACGTCTATAAATGAAAAAAAAAAATTAATAATAACTAAGTTCTCTTAACACACAATTTTAACATTTCTAGGTACTTATATGATGATTTTATTAATTTTTAGTATATATATATATAACAGGTTAAGTTACACAACATATACGTACATATATACAAACATATTCTTTATGTAATAATGAAAATTTATGAACTCAAAAATATATTTTAGAACTAACAAAGCTTTGAAATTAGATTAAAATTTTTAATCGTTAAAAAATGTGTTTAAAATAAATAATAAAGATATGTAAATATCGTTTAATTAAAAAAATCATAATGCAAAAAAAAATTAAAACAAAAAGAAAATATTAAGTTGGCATTGATATCGAAAATAAAATATTTAGTTAAATTATCAAAAAATCTATAGAATTAAAATCAACAATAGATCAGAGAGCAAATAATTATGTACCAAATTGATATTAATAAAAAATTTCAAATTTATTTAATATTCAATGTAATATATTATTTATGAAGTCTGTATTCATTTGAATTATTAAACTTTGTTTCTTCTATGTAAATACATTAAGAATCTAAAATACTATTGATGTAAGTATATATACTCAAATAATCTAAAAAATATTAATTAATGTAAAATATTCTAACTACCAATATTGTATATAATTCATCCAGTTACAAAGTTCTCAAATTGACCAAAATTATAAGTCCCAAAATTGATACTTTTTAGAATGAAAATAATTATCAATTATAATACAATACAATTTAAACATTCAAACAGTTATTTATTACATATATGCAGTATATATATTCAAAAAAATAATATTACTTTTTACAGAATTAACCAAATTTTATCAAATCAATATTTTTATTTTTACAAATTATAATTTAAAATTAAAAATTAACATTAATTCTACAAAATAATATATCAAATTAAATTAAATCAGGCTGTTAAAGTGAATAAATTAGAAATATTATAAATTAGTAAATATAATATTTGTATATTTAAGATTATTATTATGATTCTTAATTTTTACTAAAACATCAAGTAAATGTAAGTTTTTATAAAGCAACAGGAAGAATGTTATACTTTAATAATAATTTTCATAATATAATATATATTTATACTTATATAACTGCTTCTAAATTAATATAAAAACTTTTATTAAATATTGCAAAGCTTGCAAGTTTAAATACGAATAACAAGTATAAATAGAAAAAATTACACATTAAAATATAATTGAAAAAAGTAAAATACACATCCATATATTATAATAAATTTAATTAGATTTAAATACAATAACATAAGATTTTATCAAAATTTCAACTGCATTTATTTGATGTTTATGTATAATATTTAAGTATATATAATTTAATTTAAATTAGAAAAATTTGTATATAAAGTTTGTTTCTCTAGACAGGTTTCGCAGGCTTGCGATTTTCATTTTATACCCACGAGTTTTTATAGAGATTATTAATTTCTCGCTTTTAAAACAAAAACAAAATCTGTAATTAAACTACAGATTTGTGGTCGGAAGCGAAATATATATTAAAGGAATTAATTAAAATATTTAATCAATCAACAAAAATACTGTAAGACTTATTACTAAAGTTTTAAACAAAATATTTATAAAATGGAAAGTGAGATAATGTCTATTGTTAAAATGAGAAAAAAAAGAGTGAACGAAACTTACTTGCGATACGATGTTTTGAACTTCCATTTCGGCCTTGCTGACCTGTGTTTCATCATTATCCGCATCATCGACAGGAATATTTTCATCGAATTCAGCCAAATCTGCAACAGCTTCTGCTTTTGCAGTCTTTGCAGCTTGTACATCAAGATCTTCTTCAACTGCAGCAAGTGCACTCTCCAGTGCTCCAATCGCCATTTTATCATCAGATTGTGACAATTCTTTGTGTAAATTTCTTTCTCTATCCTTATTTTGATCTAATACTTCAGCCATTCGTGCACTGGCATCAGTTTCTGACTGATCAACGTCAAACAAATCTTGAATAGTAGACTAAAGAATAAATTACAAACTTAAATGTTGTACAAAAAAATTAAATGGATATCTAAAATATATTATTCAAAATGCATTACATACACTTTTAAAATAGGCAGTTGTAAAGTTACCACCTTCGATAGCAAGATCACCAAGTAGTCTTTTCTGATTTGCTTTTTTCAAAATATTTTCTTCTACTGTTCTTTCGCTTATTAACCTACATTAAAACAACAATGATTAGGCAATACTTTGTACAAATATTTAAATTATAGAAAAATTAAACTGAGCTTAATAAATTTTGCATTAATTTCATCAATTTCAACATTTTAGTAATAAAAATAACTTTTATTTAACACAAATTCATTTGAAATTAAATAAAGAAAAACATAACATAAATTTCATTAATAAAACAAAAATTAATTACACAGAATCTTACCTATAAATATGTACATCCCTTGTTTGTCCTATTCTGTGACATCTATCTTGAGCTTGGGCATCCATGGTAGGATTCCAATCACTATCATAAAATACAACCGTATCAGCTCCTGTTAAATTAACACCTATACCACCAGATCTGGTTGATAAAATGAAACAAAATATCCTCTTATCATTGTTAAACCTTTCCATCAAGACCTATTATTTAAATCAAACATTTCATTAATAATCTATATGTATTTGTGTGAAATACATAATTTTTTAGAAAATATAACAAACCTGTCTCTGATCAACTTTTGTAGTACCATCAAGTCTCAAATATATATATCCATGATAATTTAGGAAGGCTTCAAGAACGTCGAGCATTCTAGTCATTTGCGTAAAAATGAGAACTCTATGATTTTCCGACTTTAACTGTCTCAATAATGTATCGAGTGACTGCAATTTACCGCAATCGTACTGTATTAATCGAGGATCCGGAAATTGTGTCAACATCGATCTTATAATGGGATGAAACAAGGCTAATTTCGAAGACAAATTTCGTTTAAGCTCTATCTTTAAGCGTTGATCTTTCCATAATTTATGAGGAGGTGGATGTGAGATATTAAATCGAGGCAAGGATGCCCGCACCGCGGGAACATAAATGACAAATCTATCAAAAATCTCTTTCAGTTCTTCAACAATTTGTTCAGTGGTTTTAATGGCCTCGGCTAAAGCTTCTGTACGTGAGAAAAATTGTCTTTTCGTACGCATAGGCTCATTTTTAGAAGCACAATGAACCCAACCACTATGCCACTGACATGCTGTTGCTGGTTTACCTATTCTCAGTGCCAGAAACAGGTCCTCACCGTATAAAGGACATGCTGCACATCGTCGCTCATTTATGTCGGCTAAGGAAATAAGTTTGGCCTGTCGTTTCTGTCGTCTAGTCTCTTCTAATTGTGGCTTAAATATGTATTATTTCATTAATAATTTAAAAAAAAAAATATATATATATAACATTATATTATCATTATTAACTAATATTTATCAGCTTAATGTAGTTATAGATTTATATTTAAATTATTTATAATTACATATATGCGTTTAAATTAAGCTTTCAAGTTTTTATTGTTTCTTGATTTTCAACCAAATTCACAACTATATATTATACTATAATATATACTATTGTAGTATATATTACTGTAATATGTTTTAGAGTTTAAAAATAAAACAATCTATGTATCAAATATAAAAATAAATAAAATACCTATGAAATATCAAAATTAACGAAAATCTTATAAAATTATTTACCAGATAAAATTCAGATTTTGGTGTTTCTTTTTCTTGATTCTTTTCATTATCTTTTTGAGTATTTCTTGCAACACAGCGAATTTGCGTTTGCGATTGTACTTGTCCAGCAGATTGTGATGTACTCACATTAAGAGGAGGTACTCGCATAACTGGTCTACCACTTATTCCCCCTGTTGTTGAAGTAACAACTCCACTTATTACTTTGTTTACGGATACGGGTGTTGACAAACCCATAATTTGTTTAGAAAGAACTGTTAGTCTTTGACCACTAGAAGTCATTACCGGGAAAGAAACTAAAAAATAAAATAAATTATTAATAAACTGGAGTTCCATTCTAAAGTTTTATCAATTCATTTATAAATAAAAATTTATCTTACGTGCATTAGTTGTTTGTTGATTGGGATTAGTCAAAATGATATGTCTGCCGGTTGATGTCTGTACTAACTGAGCAAAACTAGGAACTTGATATTTTTGGACGGAATCGCCATGCTTTACTGTATAAGTATGTGTTGTTAATCTTTGAGGTCCATCTTTAATATTTGAATTACCAACAATTATTCTTTGAGCATTTATACCTGTTGTGGTTGGAGAAACTGTCGCTGTACTTTGAATATTCTGAGCAACTGTTCCAACTGGAATAGCTGTAAAAATAAATAAATATGAACTCACATTATTTATTATATTATTTGTTGTATAGTATTTCAAAAAATCCAATTTATAAAAAGATCTATTAAAAATATTTTTTTAAATTGTTAGCTCGATTCTAGAATGAACGTTTAAGAAATAAAAACGAACAAGCTGGCTCAAGAATAATTTTTTTCGCACCACTGCAAAAATGATTGTAATTGTACAACCACTGATCGATGGCGCTCTCTTAAGTCAAGGATTAAACAAAAAACACGTGTTACCTTTAACACCTCCTTGATGCGGTACTAATTGAACAGAAAATCCTTGTAACTGTTGTCCTCCAGCAACTTTCAAAGTAACACCTGAAGTAAAATTGAATTTAATTTTAAATTATATTATAATGTAATTATTAAAATAAATTAAATGTACCTTGCCCTGTTGGAGCTTGACTATTCATATTTTTAACCAATGGTGAAGTTCCTACTCTTGGCGTTGGCAGAATACCAGGAAAGCTTTTGATTTTAATTTGCTGTGGACTTTGTTGTGTTGCTGTAGTTGCTTTGGATACCTGATTAGATAACCTAACGTTAATTTTTATTTTGCCTGATGGACATCGAGGAAGTTCTAATTGACTATCAATTTCCTCAATTAGTTTTCGCTGTGTTTTTAACCGTCTAATTCTGTGAGCTACAAACGCAGTAAGAAGACATTCCAAATCAACCAAAAGAAGATTCAAACAAGATAAATCGATGTGCTGAAAAATACATAATTTTCTTAACATAATTTTATAGTCGAAAAAAATTACTTTTAAATAAATTATACATTATTCTAGATCTATAACGCTTTTTAAATCTTATTTATAGCTTTATAATAAGTAGAATAATTTTGAAATCAAATTGTATTCAAAGCGCCCTTAGGTTAAGCAAATAGTATCACTCAGCCTTACAAAGCTTGAATTTATTCTCTCCATGTAATGTATACTGTTATTCCATAATGAATATTTGAAAACAGCAAATATTATAACATGGATATATATAATCAATTTAATGTATTCTTAATTTTTATAAATATGATTTTATGTGTATTAAGCACTATTAATAGAATTGATTCAGATTTATTGATGAAAATATGTTAATAGTTTTGATTATAAAAAATTTAAACACTTATGTAACTTTTGTGTAAAAAGAATTTGCTTACCTTAAAAGGATCATAATCTAAAGCACTCCATGCTAAAGAAGCGGTATGATAATCAATTCCTTCCATTTGAAATGGTGAAACTGTCGGTCTCACTTCAAATAAATTTGGATGATTACAAACTTTACGCAATTGCATGAGAACATTAATAACACTTAACAAGTTGCCACTAGCTAAAGTCTCCTTTGTCCTAAAATATACATATAATATATATTAATTCTTTATTTTTATTAAAGTAATTAGTTTTTTATTCTCGATAATATTACTTACTTTGCCCTTGACATAAAATCATCATAAAGATACCTTTGACGTTTTGATAATCTACACATGATAACATGTTCATATTTCTTTGGTAGCTGTTTTTCAACTTCGCATTTTAGTCTTCTTAAAAGGAATGGACGCAAAACCTGTAAATTAATATTTATTAATATATAAAGTTAAATTGCAATTGTAAGTTTAATTAATTTGAATTTAAATTAAATAAGCATTTTTTGTTTAATATAATCTTTTAATTGTAAAAAAATTATTTAAAATAATGTATAATTATATATAAAATACTAACCTTATGAAGACGTCGAATGATATTTTCGTTGTATTCGTTATTTCCTTCAATCATTCCAGTTACAGGATTACTAAACCATTCTTTAAATTCTCGATGAGATTGAAATACATTTGGCATAAGGAAGTGCATAAGAGACCATAATTCCATTAAATTATTTTGTAGTGGGGTTCCTGTCAATAATAATCGCCTTTGTGTTTGAAAATTTAATAATAGTTGCCATCTTTGAGATTTAAAATTTTTAATATTTTGTGCCTCATCTAAAATAAGATATTTCCATTTTTTCCTCCTAAAGCTTTGATGATCTTGAATAACGAGTTTATACGACGTAACACATATATGAAATGCATTAGGTTTAGTCCATCCTGTTCTTTTTTGCTTTCTTTCCTTTTGTGTACCATAATAAGTTAAAATTTTAAAACCAGGACACCACTTTTTACACTCCATTTCCCAGTTAAGCATCACAGACGTTGGTACTATAATTAAATGAGGACCCCAGTTTCCTTTTTCACACGCTAAATGTGCCAGAAGCGCAATCGTTTGAATGGTTTTACCCAAACCCATTTCATCCGCAAGAATACCGTTTAATTTTCTCTCGTACATTGTGACTAGCCAATCTAATCCAATGTGTTGATATTCACGTAAACAATGTTTCAGTAAAAATGGAATTTTTGTAACAACCTACAGTAATATTAATCATTTAATAAAATTTCCGATTTTAAAAATCCATTAAATAAAATTGTCATTTTATTGAGTTATAATGTAGCAATTACAAATATATAAAAAAAACTTGAAAAGAAATTTTTACACAATCGTACATGCTTTTATTCTACCTTCCTGAAATAGTAGCTTGTCATGAATATATCACAATCTCTTTGGATAAGAAGGTTTTGAAAATATTAATAGTAATAATGACAATTTCGTTCACAAATATTAAATTTATTTTAACTTACACTTGTAGTAAGTAACGTATTCCCTTTTGGTTGTATACTTTCTGCTAGAGCTGCGACAGAATCCATTTCATTTTGTTTTTCTGTTACTTCTTTCATGCTCTAAAAAAATATATATTAAGCAAGTGCAATACAGTATTTATTTTAAATAAAATAATCAAATAATTATTTACCTTATTTTCATCAGATAAATCCTCAAGTAAAGATTTCAATCCAACTGTAGTCTCTTCATCACTTTGTGTTTGAGAATCATCCTGTGTTTCATCTTCACTTTCAGTTTCATTTTCAGAGTCTGATTCCTGTTCATCATCTTCATCTTTATCAGAATCTATGAACGTAGATTGTTAAAATAATTAGAATAAAATTAATTTTAAACATTCATTCATTAAATAAAATATATTCATACCATCATCACTATCAATATCCATAGGAGTTTCTGGTGTATTTCTATATTTTGCCATGAGTTCATCTATCGACATTTCGTTTTCAGCCTTAAAACGAAATTTAATAGACATTTTTAATAATTTAATTTAATAATTACTTGATTTGTAAATCTAGAAAGATCAAATTTACCTTTAGATCATCGAGTTCCTGTTTATGATCTACATTCTTTTCTAACTTCTCTTGTTCTTGAATTGTATCTTCCTCATCATCTGAAGATTCATCTGATGCTACAGTGAATTCAGCATCTTTACCTTCAACATTATCACTTTCCTATAAAAATATAAGGAATTACATTTAAATTCTTTAAATTTACATTTAAAAATTACTGTCAATTAAACAAACCTCTTCTACAATTTCCCTAGGCAAAGGGGACAAACTTTTATCTCTTTCTTCCAGATAATTTGGTGGTAATTCTTTCAGTAGATCTTCTAATGGAAGCTCTGATTCTTTTTTTAATAATTCCACTTCTTCTTTATGATTTGATTTCATTTCCTCTTCTGCTTTAGCTATTGTTTCTTCATCATCATCAGAGCACTGATTTGGCTTGAAATCATCTAAATAATATATTTATATTATATTTATAATTATCTTTATAAATATAAATTACTGAGAAAATAAAAAAAAAGTTATATATATATACATACCATCCGAATGTTTTTCAGCGCTAGTAGGTGAAGATATTCGAGAACTGTGTATTGAAGCTGGTGTACTATGATTACCTTCCCCTTTATTCAATCCTTCTGTTAACCAAGATGAATATTTTTCTGTTTGATCAACAATAAAATTTAAATGTTGATCTAATGCTTTCTTTCGCTTTTCTTCTAATCGAGTTTGTTGTTTATACTCTACCAGCTAAAATTTAAAATTTTCTATAAGTAATGTAACTATATTTAGAATTAGGAAACTATTAGGTACTTTTTATGTAATGTACATAAATAATATCTAACTAAAACACTTGATTGAATCAGTTATATATATATATATATTTATATATTTATTCAAATTATTGTTCCCACGTTGAGCACACAATTAAAGCATATACAAGTTTAAATTGCCGGCTTATTATATGGGGTAAATATAAAAATATTTTGAAATAAGATTTTTTTAATTAATAATTTTAAAAACCTTTTCAACATTGGCCCAAAATGTTTTTATTTCTTTTGCAATAAAACCAGCAATTTTCTTTAATCGAAGCTCTTCTAATTTTTCCGCTTTTTGAGCTTGTATAGCTTTCTCTTGGAAGTACTTTTGAACCATCCGTGCACATTTTTTTGCTGCTGATTTTTTCCATTTTCTTTCTTGTGCAAAATCTGTAGAAAGCCAAACCATTTCTTCTAATAAGTAATCCCAGTGAGCTTTTGGCCTTGGAGGTTCTTGAACTTTAGGTAATCTTCGTTCTGACCATAAACCTTCTCGTTGTAATTCTGCAATCCTTTGCATTACATAAGCTTCCTAGTATACATAAAAATATAAATCTGTCATTTTTATAAATGTTATATTGTTAAATTTCATTCAAGTATTATAAATAATAATTATAAATGAAAATTTAAAATTATTTTTGCAAAAGATTACAAATAAAAATAATATTAAATAAGATTGTTTAACCATACCTGTTTCGCTTTTTCTACAATTTGTTCTTGATTACTAACAGTATCACACGGAGATATTGAAGAAGTAGGTAATTTTACAAGTTTAACTACAGGTTGAGCTGATGTAATTGGAGGTGTAACAGGTTTTTCAATTGGAATAGTTGCTGTCATTTTATCTGTTACAGGATTTTCCAATGGTGTTGAATTAGGTTTTGAGGAATCTATTACAATTGGTGTTCCACCTGTAACAAAATGTATTTTCATACATTTTTACTAATGCATATAACTGTTTTAACTATCATATGAAAAACAATTACACGACTGAAATACTACATAGAAAGCTTACACAACTTAAACTTTTATAATATATATAAATTAAATGATTATTATATGATTATTTTTAATTTTATTACAATTATTTTACTCAGCTCTGATATATAATACTTTTGCTCTAAATATAAATAACTTAACTCACATATGCTTAGTTTTGTTTTCTCATGACATATGTACTTTCTCGCAACTTCTGGAATTGGTAAAATATATAATATGGGTTTTATCTATAAATATGTACAGCATGTGTCAAATTTTCAAAAAGAGAATTATATGTCAATAAAGTATAAGAATAAAATATATGTATTATCATATCTGTAATTGTTTAATTTCTTTACAATATTTATTCAGTTGTGTATAATGAGTATAATTTAAATCCATAAAGCTCTAGAAATAGTTTTAATGTATAATGATACTTTAATTAATGTTTAAAATCAATAAAATAAAATAAATTTTTCATTAAAATAAACAATAAACTCCTCACATTCAAACAATAACATAAATAACATGCATAATTTTATCATTACTATAATATATGTTTAAAACTTATGTAGAATTTATGAAGCGATGCTTATACTTTTAAAAATTCTAAACATGCCAATAATATACGTTCCATTATTTATGTGAATGCATGTTTGAACAAACATATGTGCATAAAAAATGTATTTCTATATATGAAGCATTTGTAAGGAAAAAATATTTATCAAATTAATGAAACTGAATTTTTTTCATCTTCTAGACTCATTATAATTATCGAATAAAAAAATTTTAATTAATTTACTAGTTTATTAGTTTATTTCTCAACTAGTTCCAAATATAATTTCTATCAAAATGTATAAGTAGGTATTATTAATGAAATAAGCTAATAGAAGCAAATACTAATATTTCGTGCAAAAATAAGTGTTTCAGTTGATTATCAAGTGGCTGGATCGATAAAAAATATTTATAAATTTATGAATTAATAAGAAACAAACATCGACAACAGTCCTATAATAATCACCTATAAAGAGAGCGGGTGCTATAGTAGTGGGTGAAGGGTGAATGGCGACTGGTGAAGCCTGAATTGCTGCTCGGAAGGTAAAGACCATGCCATGTCGGCCTCCTTGAGGCCGACCAGGTACTTGTCCTATTGCGCAAATCATTGGTTCAGTAGATTCAAAAGTCGAAAATTTATACTTATACCATTGACAAGAATTGTCAATTATGAAAAGATAAAAACCGACACATTGTGTTGACACCGCTACATTATTATCATTGTATTTATTATAAGCTATTTTCCGTTATATCAAGTTTTTCGTTACAATGATACAATATTATTGAAAAATCATTAAACCTGTATACTTAGGTATTTGTTGCTAATTATTTTATTAAAAAATAAATTCTATATTTTTTTTGGTAATTTTTTAGATTTATTAATATATCTCTGGATATTTTTCATAAGTAGTTATTCTTTTTTACAATAGTAAAATAATTTAATCTTAATCTCCCTTAACAAATTTTATATTGCATATTATGCAAACAAGTATTGTTTACTCATTAAAAGTTATAAAAATAACAATTCATCTAAAAAATTAATATCCATATTTGTTAATCATGTGATTTACAATATGGAGACAGGAAAAGTAATAAATTTGTTATATTTATTTTATATTTATTCTATTGATGAAAATTTAAGTCACAATCTAAATATATACTTTATTTATTGTTTGAATTAATTATTATTACTTCATGAATATCACAAAATAAAAGGATTTAAGTACAAATATTACTTAAGTATAATTTTCATGACCTTTTTTCCAAAACTTAATATAAACTTAAAGTTAATAACATAATAATATATTAAATGGATTTGATATTTGATTGAACGAAATTAAATAAATTCAATTAAAAATAGCTATATTCAATCAATATAATATCCTGAAAGAATTCTCTTTATCTTGAGTTTATAATAGGATTCATACCAATAAAAGGTTTTCAATTAATGTTTTAAAGTATACATGGTAAGATATTGATATAGCACACAGCTTCAAAAATTTTATCAACTTCTATTAAATAAAAAGTAAAATGACCAAAACTATATATTGAATTATCTAATTAAAAAAATTATAAGTATTTGCTAAACCATAAAGCTGAGATTTTTGTCATATTTTAATTAACACAACTTCTGGAATTCAAGCAAAACACCTTTTTTCCAAAAATAAACATATATCTACAAATGTACATTAACGCACATATATACTTATAAATATATATTAGTAAATAATTTTACCTTGTTGACTAAGTTGCGCAACAGCTGGGGGCAATGTCGTAGAGACTGCAACGGGTGTACCACCTACGCCTGTAACTATGACCTCTGTACTTTGAGATGTTGCCGAGGTTATGGGTGTCGGGCTGTTGGTTGTCGTAACAGTAGTAGTTGTAGTCGTTGACATAGACGTCATATTTGCTGCTACCGTTGCCACTGCAATCGTCGCTGTAGCCGGAGCAATCATTTCCAAACTCTGAAGAAGTTCTTTCTCATCCTCGTCTGCTTCCAGACTTTGCTGCTTCATAAAATGGAGATACTGGGCTGTCGATGGCCTTTTCTTCCATGTATGATAATCCATGAGATTGCCACCATTGTGAAGAAAAAAGAGTTCTGAAGCGTTATCATTCAATTTTTCTCGTATTGAACGCATACGCTTGAGCTTGTGCTCCATTATACGACGTCGGTAGCCCATCGAGTCCAACTCGACTAAGGTGGCTTTTTCCGTGTTCTCAGTTAGTCGCGACTTTTTTTTTGCGGGTGGCGACTGTACAGACACTTGGGACGTAGGCGTCACAAACATGTTGGCTATGGAGGTGCGTACCAGCTTGGGTGATGTCGTCAACACGAGCTTCGGATTCTGACGGCTGGGTGATGTGAGCGTCGTTCCGGTAACAGTGCCGCTAGCTCCAGTGACGTTAACCACACTAACGCGCGGTGTCGTGTTCGAAAGATTAACAATACGTGTAACGCCAATGGACTGATTTGCCGCACTACCGCTAGGTAAAACCTGCTGACACAGATAAATACACTTTGATTTATCAATATTTTATGATACACGAGTATTATATTTTCCCCCAAATTATTTTCAGACAAATGCCTCGGTTCTTATCAAAAAGATCGTCGTGAATGGTACATTCATTTAATCTTTCAATTTCGGTATAGATGACATCACAAAATAAAGGAAATATTAGTTATGAAACGGGTAAATAAAAGACAATTATTTGCTACCATGAATAAATTCTTAGATTTTCAACAGCTAGAATTATATACACATAACATAATTACTTTCTTAAATTAAATTTTGAAAAATTTAATATCTATTGAATTATATTATTATTAACTTTCAAATTAATTAATGTATCTATAACTGTCTAATTTATGAAATCACATTTCTTTTACAATAATTCTGTTACATATTATAAAACTAAAGAGCCAGTTGGACAGTAAACCATATCATAAAAATGTCATATTAAAAAAAAAATTCAACTTTAAATAAAAAAATGTTTTAACTTTTATATATAAAAAAAAAATATAATTTTTGAGATATATTATGGCTCATTACCTCTAAATGTTTTTATTTAAAAATATTAAAACTATAATTTTACTCGCAGCGATGATTCAATAATTATTTCAATATAGCACTTAAAAATGTTAAAAAATAATTATTTAACATATTTACAATCTCAATTCATTCCAATTGGATATATAAATAATATACTGAATTAATTATCTACCCAGGTTTATAATTCGCATATTTATAAATACAAAAGCCATGTCTAATAACAAACAACATTAATATATCTCTAAAAAAACCTAAATTATAATCGACAGGCAATCATATTAAATAATTATCAATTTATAATATTACTTGCTGAATCTCTTACAAAGATTGTTATATTTAGAGTAGAACTGAACTTTTAAAAAAAAGTATAACATAAGCATTAACATATTTAATACAACCATGTACCTGTGCGAGGCCAGGAACCTGGGATGCAAGGACAAACTGTTGTACATTAGCTGATGTAAGAACATTGGCAAAAACCTGTTGCAAACTGACAGTTTGCTGTGGTGCACCTCCATTGCTTCCCCCATTATTTCCTCCACCCCCAGTAAGGGGCGGCAAAGTAGGCGCACCTTGTTTATCACTCATTACACATGATACTGAAAATGAAAAATTGATATTGTTAACTTAATTAATTAATTTTTTTTTATCGACTTCATTTGATTTTGTGAATTTATAAATATGAATATCGCTTAAAAAACAAATTAAATTATAAATGAAAAAAAAATTTTTTAAGCAAAATATTTTCATATGACCTGGAAATGAAATGTCTTTTCAAGCTTAAATAACAAGAATTGTATGAAAAATGATATACTTAAAATAATAAAAGTAATTAAAAATTCATTTTTATTATTTTATATTTCAGCATATACCTTTGCATTGAAAAAATTATATAAAGAATGTAAAAATTATAAGAATCAATTATTTTCAAATTTTCCAACATATTCATAACTGTAAAATAATTTTCCAGCACAGAGTTATTGACATAAGCCCAAAATTCAAACAAATGGTTTAGTTACAAAATATAAGGTTATAAACATACTATTTAATATAAAATAATTACAATATAAGATGGATAATTTTTTAAATAATACTCCTTTATTTAACTCATTTATATTACAAGATAATACAAAATTTAACACGAATTATTTAAACTGCATCATAAAATTAAGTTAGTAAAAAAATTTTTTAGGTACAAGTTTAGGGTGCATCCGATGTTTGGTTATGATTATTTTTTATTGACAAAAAAAATATATTTTATTGACGCAAGAATTAAAAGTAATTGCAATCACGTAATTAGAAATTATTTATATAAAATATATAAGCTCATTGTAATTAGCTTATAATTACAAATTTACAGAAAATAAAAAATATTTTAATATAATGAAATTAGCACGGTTAAGTAAAACAAAAAACAGACTAAGAAAATTAATAAAAACAAAAAACAAACAAAAAAATGTAACTGGAAAAAGCGGATAATGTACGAATCTTTTTTATTTCACAATTGTATACAACGATATTATACAGTAAAAAAAAATTAAATGCTATTCGGTTATTACTACAAGTGAATAAAAGTTAATAAAATTATGCCAAACGCTCCAATCTACGACATTTAGCAGTTTTACACTTTAAATTCCAGGTGCGTTCAATTGACTACATGCAGGATCTGTTACTTTCAAAAGAATAAGTAGATTTAATTAAATTTCATAAACTAATAGACACTCATTATTTATTAAAAACAAAAAAAATACACCATCTTGACTTGGCGCATTGTAAAGAATAAGAAAAGAAAAAGAAGAGTGACGAGAGCAGACGTGTATCGAACGATAGAGAATGAGAGTGAGAGTGAGATCGAGAGAGAAAGAAGTACAATACACAAGATGTTAAAAGAAGAAGGAAAAGTATGCGACAGCGCCAGTTGCGTGAATGAAGAGACAAATAAAAAATAAAAAATAATTTTTGAGAAAAGGAAAGGGGAGAATGACAAAAGCTAACGAAGAAAGAGGATCGCGTATTCAATGAATGTAAAATTATCGGTTAGGAAATTCATACGATCGGTGTCTCCACTTAATGAAGGTGCACTGGTGTACGAACAATAGGTTGACTTTTTCTTAAATTACAATTCAAACAATAACAATGAATAAAAGACTATAATATCTCAGCGATATAAACGCCTCTCGCAACAATTCTTCGCCGCTCGGCCTCTGTGGCCACACAAAGGAAATTTCCCGTCGGCCATGTTGGCGACCGTTGCATGTCTATAGCTCGCGCCCAAACGAGACAGAGACGAAGCATGCATATAAGAGTGAGAAGGAAGAAAAGAGAGAAAACGATGTCGCTTCTGGGTGCGCAATAAGTGGCGACTTACCATAATGTAATCAGTGAAATTCCGCGATGACGAGCCATCCGCAGACTTCCGTGTGTGCGCGCACACACCGGAATACCAAAATCCGCGACTTAATTCACCAATCCCCAGATCTGAGAAAAGGCAGAGGCGCGCGCGTCCCGTTGCTTCCCTTTCGCCTTAACCGAAAACGAAAAAAAGAGAGAAGGAGAGAGAGAGAGAGAGAGAGAGAGAGAGAGCAAGAGAGCAAAAGAAAAAGAGGCACAATGGACGCCGCTCCCGTACGATATACTAGTTTCGTTATTCTTTTATTGTTTCAGCCTTGTTGTCGGTCTCTGTTTCGTTCGTGGGTGTGCGTACAAATGCCGCACTACGCGCGACAATATTATCGTATATGGGGTTGAAGTAAAAAACGTTTCGCACACGCACCGCGCACAAGAGCTACGCACGAGCCGCACCCGTTCGGTATTTTTCTCTCTCTAACGAAACGGCATTTTGCAGCTCTCCTTTAAGAGTTGCGTTGCGTTGCGTTGCGTTGCGTTGCGCGCGCGCGCGCGCGCGCCTTCGCTCTACCGCGAGAGTGGGCCAAGCAGCCGCGGGGGTACTGGAGGATGCTCGAACGAGGGAGGAGAGCGCGCGTTTAATCCGACCGGGACGGCGATGCGCCCGTGCGGGAACGCTGGCGGCGCCACCAGCGGCCTTCCTCGAGCTCGCTCCTCTTCAAGGACACGCAGCACCTCTAAACATGGCGACCGAGTTCGCTCTCGTACGCGCGCGCACGCAATACACGAACACGACACAAGCAAAGCAGCGCGCATGCACACAACGCGCAACTCTTCGGCCTCCTTTCTCCTCGAGTGGCAGTGGCAGCAGCAGCAACAGCAGCAGCGGCAGCGGCGGCGGCGGCGGTAATGACAGCGTCGGCAAGGGAGGGGCAGAAAGAGGGGAGGACAGTAATATGTGAGCAGGAGGAGAGAAGAGGACCAGCAGGGGATGGCGCGCGCACGCGTCTCGCACACGCGCACAACAGAACACAGCACGCGCGCACTCACACGCGCGACCAAAGGGGCGGTCGCCCCGCACGCTCGGGTCCACTCTCCGTGTATATCCGAATCGTCGTACGGCTCGGCAAGCTTTGCCGAGAGAGACGGAAAAGACGCGCACGAGGTGAGCCGGAAGATGGCGCTGTATCTAGAACGATGAGGTCTTTGCCCCGCGGAAGTGGGGACAGGGGAAAGCGTAACTGACGGTATCAAACCAACTGAACGACGAGCAGCTTATCTAGCGAAATCGTCACTTAACGTCTCGCGTTACGAGTATTGACGGTACGAGATTGGCTAAAAATTCGTCAATTTTCCGAGGGCCATGCTATTGGCGGATTTATCAGGGCCAAACAATTCGCAACGCGATGGTGGGGCGCGGTTTCCGGTCTCGGTAATGCTACAGCTCCTCGCAGCGACTTCTCTTTTCCGGTTAGTCAAGCGAGCTACTCACTGAAATTGCTATCTTTTTTTCTTTTTATTTTCTGTCATTTTTAACAATTTCACTATTATTGTTAACATCTGATTTCTTATCGCTATAACTCCTTACAGTTATTACAATAACGGCAAGTTTCTATTATCCGGTCAAACTACCAACGCTGCTGACGTTAGCTCTTTATTCGATTTAATCGACCGAAACCATACTGTCTCGCACATATCAAAAATGGCGAACATCCGGTCATTTTTTTTACACTTTCTCGCGCTCTTTGACTAGCTATGCCACGTGGTCCTAAGAAATTTAAATTATCACTTTTATCTTTTATCTCAATAATAACGATGAACATGATAATAGGCTACAATGCATATATATATATATATATATATATATATATATATATAACTTGAGCATCGTTACGACTTAAAATTCATTTATTTAATTAGAAATTCCAATACTTGTTCTTCTAATAACTTTAATTATTCCTTAAAACTTTTTCACATATTAGAAATGTGGACCGTAAAATTTTATTATAAGCATTACTTTATTTTATGATAATTACAGTACTTTTTGCAACAACTTACTTTTTTGTTAAAATTAACAAGCTACTAAGAAATAAAAATGGAAATTATTAAAAATAAGCAAAACTACATAAAAAGCCATAGTTTTTCGTTCAAAAGTACATTATCTCCGTATAAGGCACGTGCATATGAAGAGGAAGAGATATAATATTAGCCTGTACGTAAACGAGTTAGCGATTGAAATAAAAATCCAGTACCACGCGTGCATAGTCGGGATATGCGTGCGTAAGCACGCAAAAGGTGTACAGACGGAAATTGGATTTCAACGCAAAAACGTGCAAAATAAACAACACTTATATAGCCGGTTTCCGATTCCCCAAGAGAAGAGGAGAGTAGTGTGTGGGCAGCCAAGCGACAAGTATCAAAGAAGTTGACATCACGAAATAGGTATATGAAAGAGAAAAAAATTCAAAAAAAGAAATTTGCGAAGAAATGAGAGACGAAAAGAGACAGACACAGACAGATAGGCAAAGAGGGATACTCGGCTATGCTAAGAAAAAGGTGTAATTGTCGACAGAAGAAGGGTGAGGGACGTGTTGAAGCAAATACTCACCATATTATAGATAGGCGAGAGCGAAGCGTGGCCGGCGCGACCGCGCGCACTGCCGGGACGCAATATGGATTTTCTCTGGCTGGCGGTTCCCGTGCGATCCCCCGTCGGCGCTCGGGCCGCCATGCCGCAGCCGCCAGGAGGGTCCTTGACGGCGCCCTCTTCTCCGTCGGCCAGCTCGGTCCATCCTCGCGGCGGTATTCGGATCCTCGAAGCTCCGACGGCCGGATGTTGGTACCTCTCTGCCTCGCACACGTGGTAATGACTTGTGCCACTGCATGTGCGGCGCCGATTTCTACGTCCACGGTATAATAGTGCCGGGGGGCGGTCGCTGCGCCGTCTCGAGTCACAAATGCCCAACTCTTTTCTCCCTTGATAAGGATTTTCATTTTACAATTACATGTGCCGCCTCCACACCTTATCAATGTCACCGCTGCCTGATGGTCGCGTACGCGTCGTATGCGTTGTGATCGCGACTTTGCCGGCGGCGATGCCAATCCAATAATTTTATTTCTATTTACACTTTAGCGCTATTGTTACCGTTTGCTCGATGATAATGTGTTGATTAGGTGCAAAAGCACCTCCATCAAATTTCATTAAAAAGTAATTTTCAATAGGCTTGTGTTAATAAATAGCACGTGAAATATGATATTGCATGCGCCACAAATATCAGACTCCTTTAATATATATATTAAATTTATTTACTTTATAAAAAAAAGGATTATATCATAGGCAGAACCTTTGACTTTACATTAACAGTATTTTATAATTTTACTATCTTATAACGAACTTTTTTAACTACAAGACGAATATTGACTTTTACACAGAAATTCAATTTTGCCTATATTTTATTCATTTATAGTATTTATATATTTATTTTTAAAAAATTAATAATATATTGAATTTATGTGGTACTTGATTCTGTCAATTAATTTAAATATCATATATCTATTAAAATTATATAAAAGTGCTAAAAATCATTCAAGATTCATTACAATTAATAAAAAATATGAATAAAAATATTTCATTCAAATTTTATATGAAAAGATAATTTCCTCATTAAAAATTAATTCTGTATATTTACATACATATCAATGTTTAAATTAGTTATATTTACACTCAATATAGAATTTTAATTAAACAAACGGCTTATATATCAGATATTGTACAAGATTTTATATAAACTGTAAATTTGTATCTAATCGAACCGATAAATAAATTATAAATTTAAATAATAACATTAAATTATAAATTTTTTAACTACAAGACGAATATTGACTTTTACACAGAAATTCAATTTTGCCTATATTTTATTCATTTATAGTATTTATATATTTATTTTTAAAAAATTAATAATATATTGAATTTATGTGGTACTTGATTCTTTCAATTAATTTAAATATCATATATCTATTAAAATCAATATGAATAAAAATATTTCATTCAAATTTTATATGAAAAGATAATTTCCTCATTAAAAATTAATTCTGTATATTTACATACATATCAATGTTTAAATTAGTTATATTTACACTCAATATAGAATTTTAATTAAACAAACGGCTTATATATCAGATATTGTACAAGATTTTATATAAACTGTAAATTTGTATCTAATCGAACCGATAAATAAATTATAAATTTAAATAATAACATTAAATTATAAATTATTTATATTGTTGTTTGATTTCAGATTTAAAAAATATTGTCATATTACTGAATGACAAACATTTATGATAAATTTTAAATATAATATAAAAAAAACTAATATATTATGGCAAGATTAGAATCAAATATCTTTCCAGTACTCAATGAAAACGTATTGGCAAAATTACATTCTCGAAACATTTATACTGTCTATGATTTTATATTATATTCCACCGATGATTTGATGAAACACACTGGACTGTGCTTTAAGGTTTGTTTATTTATATTTATTATGTCAAAAACATTTTGCATTCCATAAATAATTATTCAATTGTATTAAATCATAAAAAATTTTCGCTGAATAATTAAAATTGCGTGAAAAGTATTCAATGTTTGTTTTACATTCGTAAAATTATTTCATGAACAATTGGAAATGTAATACTTTCAGTAATAATGTAATGAATTTTTTGTTTTTAATATCATGAAAACCTTGTATTATTCCAATTTGATTGACTCTTATAAAAAAAAGTTTTTTTCATAATTATTATTACATATTGAATATGATCGATATGAGCAATTCATATTAAATAATTTTGTTTGAAAATTTCATAAATTTAAATAAAAAATTTAAATTTGATTGTTTTAATATAACGTATGATAATATATAATGTACATATAATATATATGTAGATGATAATAAAATTATAATGAAATTATGAAACTATTTATATCATTCTTTTAAAAATATTTTTATTTGTTGTGAATGTATGTTTTTATTTAAATAATACATTTATAATTATTTCCGCTATTCGTGCATCGTATAATTCTCCATTGATTTGTTTGTATAATTTAAATATATAATTGTAATTTTTAATTTATGCTTAGGAGATAGAAAATATAAAGGAATCGTTTTTAAAAACATTTGGAAGTAAAATAATGAATTCAATTGATATCTATCATCAAGAAAAAGAAGATGTAATACCAACTGGAATAGAAAAGTAATGTTTTCAACTGTTTATTTTTTCTTAATCGATTCAATTGATATTAAAATTTCATGTGTATCAGGTTGGATGATTTGTTAGAAGGGGGTCTTCGTTATAAAAGAATTTACGAAATTTGTGGATCTTCGTCGTCAGGAAAATCACAATTATGTCATTGGATTTCTTTACATGCTACTATAAATGCATTAAGAGTTTATTACATAGATTGTAGTAGAAATTTTAGTACTTCTAGAATTCAAATGATATTGGAGTCAAAACAATGCAGTGATATTGTAAGTTACACATTTTTCTTATTACTTTGCTTTGTATTATAATAATTATTACTTTATTTAAATACATTCTTTCTATGGTTTTGATAAATATTTCAGATTATAGGTAAAGTTATGAGTAATATAATAGTCCATCAAATTTCTACAATCAACGACTTATTTACAATTTTTCACAATTTATCAAAAATGACAAATACTGGTGAAAACGAATTAAATAAAAAACTCGTAATCGTAGACTCTTTATCTGTATTATGTACAACAGTCGCGAATAACGAACTAAATCCTATTTTAAGCAATTTTGCATCTGTTTCGAGGTTTTTTATTAATTATTTTAATGCTATTATTATAAATGTGAATACGATAAAAATTGTACATAAAGGAGACTTATTTTGTGATAAAGATAAACATTTAAGAGCTGATATGAAACCTTCGTTAGGAAATTATTGGCTTAGTATTCCAAATATTAGATTATTAATAATTGCTATCGAAAATACTCAAAGAGAAATATCTATATGGAATAGTTATCAATTGGCGAATGGCAAAAAATGTTTAGTAGATATAAGAGATGATGGTATAACTTAAATTTGATATAATATATCTGCAAATTCACTCTTAAGTTAAATAATGAATATATTGATTTTTTTATTGTTTTAATGGAGCATTCGACAACTTCTTAAATAAATAAGTGGATTCAAAAATTTTTATATACTTAAATATAGTCAAATATATGAATAAAGTTTCTCTCTGTAAATAATCCAGGTTTTTCCTATTTTTTATTACGCCGATCTTCCTATGTTTTTATTATATAATAGAACATTTCACAATATAAAATGGTATTAAAAAAGTTGGCTGTATTGCATTATAAAAGAAAATTTTAAATATTCGAAATTTCTTATTGAAAACAAGTGACAGTTTAATCGGGTAACTTACGGTTATGAAAACGAATATGTTTAATCTGGAAACATGTATTAGGGTTTTATTAAATTTATTAAATTCTAATAATTTAGGATAATGAATATTTTAAAACAATCATTATTGTTTCCAAGGATATTTTTACCATGATGTAATATTCTAGGAATACTATTATATCAATGAAAATGCTGCGTAATTACTATTATTAAATTAGAATTCGTAAGTATTGTACAATTTATATTCAAATATGAATAATTATTACGAACAAGTCTGAGTCCAATAATATTCACCGTTTGTAATAGGAATAATAAAAATAATCATAATAGTAGCTGTTTGATAACATTCAAACAGTTATACGAGTGCAAAATGATTATATAAGAGTCGAACGACAAAACATAGACATTAAACTGAAGATACAACTCATTGGTGTTAAGTTGAAAATACGAAGTATCTGCATCATAAAACGTAATTAGAAGTATAATTTGTCGATGAAATTAAAAAATATTTCTATTTTATATCATAATTTCAGTCGTAAATCTCACAACAACGCAAATACATACCACATGGATTTTAGTAAATTAAATAATTTCAAATATATGTTTATTATATTGACTTATTCATTATATTAACCACCGCATCTACTTTTTGCAGTAATTATTATAAGTATTCTAGAATATTTGAAGAATACTGTATTTTTATGAAATTAAAAGTAATTGATATTATGAAAATAGAGAGTCAGTGTACAAATCATTCTACATTTAATATTTAATCGCTTTGTTGACTTGGTATAAATAAGACGTTTATCTGTGGAGGTTTCAACAGTATACTTAAAACACCAACAACTTCGACCAGAATCAAATTTCATTTTTTTAATTAATTGACGATTATCCGTGTTGACAAAAATCACCTAGCTATTGAAAATTACTAGTCGAAACTGTTTTATTTAATTGAAAAAAAAAACGTAACACATTATAGTATCTAGCTAACTAAAATAATGTATGAAACATTAAAATGTTCTTTCTATGCACATATTTGAACGCTAAAAATAAAAACAACGTCTATTCATTTTTTTTCTCAAAAATTCATTACAGTAGTTTATTTTAAATGATTCAACGCTAAATATTAAATATTTTTGTTTAATATTATCTTTAAATATAAAGCAATTGACGAAATTGTTGTTGTCAATAGAAGATATATTTGAATTATCTTAAAACTTAATGGAATTTCAAATATTTCAAATTATTGACAATAACTTTAGGAATTATTAAACAAGTTATCTTCAATGATATTCGAATTCCAGTGTTTTCTTGGGTATTAGCATTATTATTAATATTATTTAAACTAATGTTATGTTATATAAAAAATACCTATAATATATAAGCAATTCTTACAGCTTTGCATTTTCCGATTAATATAAACATTTTTTATTTGTATTAAAAATATAAATATAATATATTCATAACTCATATAAATCAGAAACCTTTTTTTCTGTAAAATGAACATATCTGAGGGTTTAATCTCATCAACCTTGTGCTTTTAGCATTTACTTACAAATCTTTGACGGCTTGTGAAGGCTTACATACCTATCAATATCTCAAGTTCTTTGCTCCGAGGTTCTTGTCATGCCGAGGTCAAATTCTTTCATACGGTACACTGCCGAGTCTCTCTCTTGTACTCATTCTTGTGCATATATCTCTATTTTTACTGTACATACTATTACCTCTTCAATGTTCTGAATTTTGCATTTTATATTTTAATTTTTTTAAATAAATGTTCATTAGTCCTAATATATTACCTAATTTTTAGATTAATTTTTACAACCTCTAATTTGTAATGCATTCCATTTAGAATTACCAATGTGTACATTTCAATCTTTGCCTTTTTCATAATATATTTGAAAAAGCAATATATTATATCTATGTAATTTATTAAGAAGATACGATCGTTTATTTAAATTTATTTATCAAAAACTTTAATTTCAATAATTATGCTTTAATAAATATTTATTCAATCTTTACTGGATTGAATTGTATAAAAAACGTTTTAGTGATCTATTTTTTTTTTTTTAGCTATTTTAATTGTTTTATTGTTGAAATATGCTTTAGTTTAATTTATTTTCAATTGTTAAATAGTATTAGACATTTTCACAATCCTGCTTTTTATATATGAATTTGGATATATGAGTAAAAATCCATATTGTATCGATCAAAATTTTTCTTATTATTTTACTTATTAACTTTGGTATCGAAAATTTCATAGTTTAATAGTTAAACATTTTTAAGGTTTATATGAAATTGCAATACATACTTTTGATCAAATTATTCGATTACAATATGTAATAACTGCGTTCTATCGAAATAAAGTTTTAACATTATAAAAAACATATTTATGTAGTTAGGTAGATTTAAAATGTTTAATTATTGGTTTACTTAATGTTAAATAAATTTCACTTACTATTTAAACTAATACTTATATTTTTATAATAAAATTTTATTTCTGTAAAAAATTTGTTATTTTTTATTTACAATAACTTATAGAATGTATTAACTAATAATTCTTAATTGTTCATATAATAATCATTTTATTAATATTATTATGTTTAAATTCTTAATATTTCATTGTATCTAGTTAGCAATAAAGTATTAGAAATATTTACATTTGCATAAGTACTTAAGGTTTATTAATCATTTTTAATTGCACGAGCTATATTATTTTAAAAATTATTATTCTATTGCTGTTTAATTATATTTAGTGAAAGTACGATCATAATGATAACTTAAAGTGTTCTATATTTATTGCAGCCTCTTTCGTGCATACCTTCGTCTTCTTTTATTAAGTAATTTGTTATAATAGCAAAATTAATTAAACTCATAAAAGTAAATGTTCCGAATATCATGAATTTAAAATGACATTGCCTTACCTCATCAATTTCAATAGATTACAATAAATTCATAAATTTGACAATATTCAAATTCTAAAGTTTTATGACATTTTGTATTATGATTATAATGAATATTGAATTTATTCAAGTTATTTTTATTTATTGATTTGTTATCTATTCTTAAAATAATGATTGAATATCAATTACTATGTCATGTACTTCTGAGGGAGAATTTGATTATATTGCTCGGTTGCGTTAATAAGAGTCTGTCCGTTTGTCGCTACTTCCTCTAATATTCAAATTTATTATTGGTTAATTTATTGGTTAAATTTATTGGTCACAAATATCTCTAAAAAGATCTCTTTTTTCTTCGTAGCTTTTTTATATCATGAACTTTATACGTTTTTTGATCATTTAACATTATCCTTTCATAATACCCTTGACAAAGTCATTTATATTATAATAATAGCATACTATTCTTTAATTAAAAAGAACTTAACTTATTTAATATGCGCGCGCGCGCGTGTGTGTCTAAGCGTTATCCTTACACCTTTTTTAAATTTTAAATACTGTAAATTTTTAATGTTATATAATAAATAAATGAAGTAATAAATAAATTTTCAGTAATGAAATAAGTAACTCCGAAGTTATATAAATATTAAATTTGTGAATTACAAAATAAATAATTTTTAGTTTAAATTAGTTTTTTGGCTGCATGTGTTTTCAATGTTTTGTAAATTCGTAATTAAGGTGTTGGAAAATAAATATTTCGTGATTAATTATTGTCATATGACTTTTATATTCAACTGTTATTAACAAAAATAAAACTTTGTATTAATTGTGAGTACAATTAAACAAAAAATTGTATTCTCAATGATATGGAGAAAACTAACATGAGAAACAAAGTAACAACAAATTAAAAAGAATGGTTGAAGAGTGGAAGAAACACCGATATAGAGGAAGATTAAACTAAGTTCAAATCGATTTTGAATTAGAATTTAACTTATGAGACAATGTGTGATTTTGTATATCTTAACTAAATAACATTTTCAATTTAATATATTCAATTGAATATTGAAATTCCATTGAATTCTGTGTAATACATGCTACGTTTTTATACATAATATTATAAATTTATAAAAAAAAAATAAGAATTTGCTGACTATTTAAGTAGCATCAATAAAATACTAGATTTTTATAAGAATATTATGATAATTTTATGTCTTTATTCTATTTGATTTTATTTAATTCAATATAATGCGTTATAATGCAAAAAATAGAAAATTGAATGTATCAGCTTAGTTTTATTAATTTTAACGTTTCTATCAGTATACACCTAGGCAACAATATTAATTTATACTATGCAATAAACATAAACACAAGAAAATTATTTAATTGAATATTATAAGTGGGAATAACATATTTAAATTTTTTTTCGAATTATAAAAATAGATTTAATAAATAAAAGATTATAAAAGATATATATATATATAATTATAATTATCCAAATAAAAATTACTTAGATATGATATAATGGTATATCATAATAACAGAATATATATAAATATATAAATATATAAATATATATAAACATAATATATACAATAGCAGAAAATGCAGTGTGCATACAGAAAGTACTACGTAAAATTAAACATTGGTAAATTTATAGAACATTTTTTAGTTTATATATATGAATGTATATTTACAACAAATGATAGAATAAAACATTTGAATATGTTACTTTAAAATAGAACAATTCAAAAGTTAAATAAATAAATTCAGTTTCTAAAAAGTGCGGAAATGTTTTTACTGTTTTCGTAACAGGTTCAACGTAGAGATATTTATAATTTAAATGAAACTAAAGGAATCAAAAGGAAGAATAGCCTTAGTTTCAGACTAGAAGAGTGGACTGGATGATGGTTAAATTGTCTATTATGACAAGATAAGCAAATTGTCAGTCAGAAGAGGAAAGGTCGAAGATGAAATAGGTTAGATCAAGCAAATATTATCTTTAGTTGAAGACTGCATTTTAGTTGGAAATTCAAATACAAGAAAGGAAAAAATTTATGGAACATATTTGAGAATTAATAGACAAATTTCAAGTCACGATGAAAAAATTAAATTTTATTAAATAACAATTCGCTATGTTGGCTTATGTACAATTTATATAAAGACGTATTTTATTTATCATGATTGTAAACATTATATTTAAATCTTACATTCGAATAAAATTAAATTTTGAATTACTTATAATCGAAGATAATATTTTAACTACTTTGTTATATAATTAAAAATATTATTAATGAATAGATTACCATAAATAATGTATTCAAATCCATTAAATATAATCTTAAAATAATTTTCGCTTACTTATTTACTTTTGGTATTTACATTTACTATGTTTAATCAAAGGTATTAATTGATTCATTAAGTATTTATGTATAAAAGCTTTAAATAAGAACAATTTTTGTAATTTTTCTTATAATTTTTAAAATGAATTAATCATGTCTTTATAAGCATATTTACTTCATAGGATGTTGTCTTTACTTATGTAATTATGATTTAAGATGTAATTTAACCGGTCATTTGTTTTTATAAAAAGCTCTATTTTTAATAATTATTTATAATATAATTGGATTTTTTTACTACAGTTGCACAATTAGTTCAAGAGAGCTTATTTATAATTTAAAATTTTTATTCAAGATTCGACAATGATTTATTAATTATATAATTTTAGGAAACACAGATTTTTAGATGTTATAGGAACTTAACTTTTTAGTAAATAAATTTACGAAATCTAGCGTATAAGGAGATAAAAAATAAAATCATTTATGAATATAATTAATTATCTACTAGATCTATCATTACCTAACATGAAAAAATTACTTTCTCATTGCAGATAAAGCAACCCTTTATTTTTTGAAAATTTTTTGTTTTATTTCATCGGTTTATTACTTTTCCTATAATAATAATAATTAATATTATTTAATTTATAAATTTTATAATATTTTTAATACTCTATTTTCTCTAATCTTACCTATTGGCCTCTTTTACTTTATTGGTATACCCTCATCAGGGTGTATAATATCTCTCCATAATGACTGCCATATTGAAATTCAATTTCTATTGCATTTTAATTTTTTATTCATAATTTCATTATTATTATATTTTATAATATCTAAAAATAACATTCTATACGATACAATTGCAGTTTTATATGATGTAAGGGTTTCTTCGATGAAAGCATCCTTCTCCACGGCATCCATAATTCTACAACCACATATCTTTTGCATAAAACTTTTCTCCATATTCTATATTCATTTATTCCTATTTTAGTTTCCATTGCCAGGGTCATGTAACGCTGCTCGACACATTTGTTGCCTTTGTTTTATTTTTTGTAATATCTTAATATTTAATAATTTACACCATCATTATATAATTTAAATTTAATAAAAAAATTAATATAAATTTAATATAAATAGTTTAAACAAAATAAAATAAAATCAGTTTAATGATTAATGTAATTTAATAAAAATTTAAATAACGACTGATATTCTTTCATTTTATTTAAAATATTATTTTTTGTGTTAGCATTAATGTAAGAAAAACTTTGATTACTGTATAAAATATATCTACATTCATATGCACGTATAACATGTGTCAAATTTTATACAATTATGCATGTTCTTGCAAGTTCTTAAACAATTATTATTATTTATGGTATCTTTAAGTATAATTTATTTTGGAATTTATGTATTAATATTGTAATAGATGTTTAATATATAATAAATATTTTTGTCATTTTAGCAATTAGTTATTAATTTTGTTTATAATAATAATTAATAGAATCCAATAATAATTTTGTGAATGAGTTATATTAAAAAATTGGTTCGATGGATTAAAAATTTTAAATTTAAAAAGCTTGAAAATAAATTAACATTGAAAATATTGATGATTAAACGTGTGTAAATGAGATTGAACTGTGTTACAGCAGGTTATACTTATAAATTTGTGTTCACATCGAATATATTTAATTATGACATATAGCATATGATGTATAAATTTAGTTATATAAATTTTAAGTCAAGTATGTTTAACCATAATTAACTTTATTAAAATTACTTATAATTAAAATTCTTTTGAATATAAACTTATTTTTAAAAGAATATGTAAACTTAATAAACTATGAGTTATTATAGGCAATTACATTGAATAACTAAGTACCGATAATATAATATGAATGAAAATACGGAAAATGAAGTATACGGAAAGAAATTGTGTCGTTTTATATTATAATAATTTTATGAAGAATTTTTACGTATAAAATCTATATTAAAGATATATAGATTCAGAATATCGGTAGTTCTAAGGTAGTAGATAGAATATCATAAATTTGTTAATAAATCATAAAAGTTTATTGAAACGAGCAAATTAACATTTGTAACGTAATTTTTAAACAATATGGTGTTTTGAAATTTTATATAATACCACCGTTAAAATAATTTTTATTCGAGTTATTTGGAAGCTCACACAACCTCACGATTCCAAGCATTTTAAGAAGGATATTAAGGAGTTAGCAATGCATTAAAAGTATTAATCGATATTTATGAAAAATTTGTCGATCCATCAATAATTATTTTTAATAAACCATACTTTATATTTAATAATTTATTATTTTGATACATGCTTTTAATGTATACCGCAGGTTATATGAAACGATTTGATCACTTCTACTATAATATATGGAAATTATTTAGTTTATTGGTTGACCATCGATTAAATTTTTCGACATAATTTTGAGACCGTTTTTTAAAAACATTTTCTAGTTTTATCGAGAGGAACAGAAGAGAGATGTATATTGCATTTCAAGTTAAAAGCCAATACGAACGTTTAAATGAATGGCTTAAAGATCTAGAATATTAATTAAAGCGAGCGAAAATAGTAATAACTGCAAGAAAAAGTTAACATTAAAAAAAGTAGCTGAGGTTATTTATTGGCAAGTGTGTTTATTTTATGTTGATAAATTCGACGAGACGGCAATGTTGCCAAGTTCCCTCGTACGGCATTTAGCTTCCTGTATAGCACTAGTGAATATATATATATATGTCGCTGTTAAAAAAATAAATGTGAAAAAGAATGGGTATCTATCTATCTATCTATCTAAACATGCATCTAAGCATCTAAAAATTAAATAGCCGTCTCGCAGTAGCGGCGTCACACTATCGGTGCCCTCCGTCCTTCCCCACTACCATATTCTTAATACCTTTTAACGATAAACGCGAGTATTCGAGATAGGCGACGTAGAAGAGCACGCATATGGCTATTGCCATCGGCCAACCAACCACCAACTATCTACGGCATTGTCAAGCTCACTGGCAGAACCGTCTGCGAGTGCAGCACCGAAATACGAATAACGAATACTAATAAGTAGTGTATAAGCCGCGGCGAGGCGCACAACAGCCATCTGACTTCCGTGTATACCACTTAGGGCTCCCATTTTATTAGATTTAATATTTCGTTGGCGAGTGTTATTTTATTTACTATTGACGAGGAAAACAAGAGATGGCTTCCTTGGTGGCGGATTATGGCACTTCCTCGGGCTCTGAAAGCGACAGGGACGAACCATCGGATTCCGGATCGTAAGTATTTAGACGAGTGCTTGGCTACGCAAGCCTTCATATGTCTAGGACAATCGCAAGTTTCCTTTCTCCTTGAGTTTACATTTATTTCCTAACCTCTAGTATCATGCGTTTGTTTTTATATTTGATGCTAGATTATGTACGTTTAACTAATTAACAATACACGTATCTGCTCTACACGATCATTAATGCTATTATTTTTAGCTGTTTAGCTCGTTAATTTTTAATATTAGACTCAATGACGAGATTTATATTGTAAAAGCGTGCATTGATAATACTTTTATAAATTGGTGGATTAAGTAGAAACTTGCTAAAAACATTCATCATTATAAATTATATAACTCGCGATTAATTTGTGCGAGTAAAAAGTTGTTTTTAAAACGTATTTCCATACGTTTGGTGAAAGTTATAATATAAAAATACTAACCGTTACAATGAACGATTCTAATTAACAGTCGATGTAGAATGCATTACAGTATTTGAAAATTTATTAATGCCAAACTAATTTTGTTAGCGCTAAACAAGGGATAATAGTATTAATAATGAGACCAAAGGTACAATTAATTAATAACATAAATATTGATGATTAATTTTTTAAAGCTATTATGTTATACATGCTAAACGTTAAAATATATTGATTGATTTTAAAGATCATTTTAAAGATATTAATTGATTTAATTGAATTCATAAATTAATTGACATAATACGATTAACAATAATTTTATGCTGTTTCTGTTCTTCATTTGATTCTATAACAAAATTTGATTGTAAATCCAAATGAATTTCTTCTATATGAACTTCGATATAACGTTCTTGATTATCATGTTTGAATCCAAATTTGATTAGAATTCTTATAATTATTTATGATAGCACGTTTATATCAGAATAAAAATTATATATTGAAATGACAATAGCCCTTACATTAATAAAGAAAATTTTTAATACTTATATATCTCTGTAAGATCTCATTTTCATGCTCTCATATTGGTAGAAAAATACAAAAATCTTAAAATATATTTCACAAATGCCATTTTAAAATAAGTTAAAATAATTGATAAAATTTTTTTTTTATTATCTCTTTTGTTTTGTAAAACAGAACCCAAATAAGTTATGCTATCAATGCGTATAACAAGCCTAGATTTTCTTAATCTATTAAATGTTACATAAACAACATGTAAAATCAAACTGGTTCTTTGTAATTTGATATTGCCTAAATGTTAGTTCCAAGGATGAAGCAGAAGAGGAAGAAAATATTGAAAATGAAGACGATGATAACCAGAAAGATACTGCTTCCAATAAAAAGCTTCCATTACCCACGCCAGACTTCAATGGTACACCCACCATGAAAACTTCAGTCTTCACCAATCCCTTTGTAGAAGCTGAAAAAGCTAAAAGTGCTATTCTTGAAAAGCACGTTAAAATGACTCCTACTTTAGATGATACAAAAATGATCAATGGTAGAAAAATCTGTTGGAATTATCGTAAGGGTCGGTGTCGTTTTGGTCACAACTGTACTTTTGCACACGATTCTGATTTACATCGTTCAGCTGCAGAATTAGAAGCTATTCGTACACCACAGGAAACTGTCATATGTCAGACACAGTATCATAAACAAGTAGGAGTAAATGATGATGAAGAAGTAGATCAAGAAAACAATCAAATGTATAAGCGTAAGAAGAGACCAGGTCTAAGCCAAAATCTAGTACCTGGTAAAAAAGTTTTAAAATTGTATAAAGCACAACAAGCCAAGACAATTAGCAGATAAATTTTAAGATAAATTTTTAGTTTCTTAATTATCGTTTACCTCATAAAAAATGTTTTTTAAAAACATAGATATTACTTTTACATTAAATTGACGATTTATCGCTATTAAAACTTAAAATTTTATTCAAAATTTTTTAAAAAGTTTTATGTGCTTTTATAAAATTTATAAAGCAATGGCTATTATTACAAATGTTTTTGAAAATTTTAATTTGAAAAGAAAAAAATTTTTGTTTGAATTGTCAATATTAATTGTCAATAGTGCTATTCACTTCAAAAATTAATAGCGTAAGTAGTTAAAATCAAATTTAAAGATAAGCAATTTACCAAAAATGCTTTGATAGTTTTAAGCCAGTTTTACATTCTTTACTATATTAATTGGAAACAATTTCATATAATTTTATATTTTAATTCTAAAATAACAATATTTATATTTTTTGAAAAATTCAAGTGTAGTTTCTAATTTGTAATTATTTCCACATGCGCGTACACACACACACACACACATATTGAAGTGATTTATTTGTAATCAGTATGAAAGTTTATTCTTAAAATACTCTTCCGTATACTTTATGTAATTTGAAGTGTGTAATTACTTGAGCAAAAAGATTGCATAGAACTGGCTTTTAAAATATAAAGGTAAATTATAAAATGTTAAATATTCTTAACCTTCCTATGACGGAGAGTGAAGTGTATAGTTAAAATTTGGGTCCAAGTAGTTTTTAATACATTTTAATAGATTGCTATTTTAATCTATAAATTGAATATTATCTATAGATTAATAAAAATAATTACACATATATACTATTGGTAAAAATAAGTATATTATTTTTTTTCATATATTATGAAAAGTTTCCTGTTACTATTTTGCCATGTTAATTAAAGCTTCCGTCATTGTAGGGTTAAAATTTAGATAGAAAAATATCTTAATATATTAATATAATGTTGAGATCTTTTATGATCAAACACTCATGTAATTTACAAGTTATACTTCCATATCTATATTATTTACATAATATTTATAAAAAATTGTTAATGAACAACAAGAAATATTTTTATCACATGATTTGAAATTCTAAATTTTGGTTAAATTTTTTGATTGTGTAGTAATTGTTTACGATTTTTACTCAAAATAATTAATATTTGGTTTAGACTAGTTTTCCTTTATAAAAATTCTTCAAACCAATCCATTTCGGTACTTGTCACTTATAATGTTATTGTTTATTATAAATATTATTTATTTTTACTCTACAGAAATAACTGGCAATAGTATTTTACTATTTTTACTTTGATAACAAAGTGTTAAAAAACTTTATAATAAACCGAATACTAGAAGTTAAACAATCATATGACTGTCTTTCAATGCATAAAAAATCTGGTATTATATACAAGAAAATGAAAAAAACAATCCATATATTCTTAAAACTGTCAATTTCCAGTTTTCTAGTTATAATATAAGAATATCATTTGAATTTACGTTTTCATGAAAAATAAAATTTATATAAAACCAAGGAAAAGTTTTTACTTCCGTAACATAGTAAAATGTACAATAATAGGGAAGATTCATTTTTTAGTACTCATTATATTTTATACAAGATTAATTTTTAATTCCTATTAAAAATAAACTTACCAATATTTTAAATACATTTTATTACATTTCTTCAAATTCCTCGATTTTTTCTATAATTGAAATTTCATAAATATTTTATTGATTTAACCCCTACAAGTATATTACTGGAAAACAATCAAAAGGTATTTCAGCAGATGACATTTTATTCATTAATATAAGTAGAATATAATGTAGGGTTTTATGCCCTATAAAATATATACATACATACTGACAAAATTTTCACTGTAACATTCGTTGAAAATATGATTCTACCATTATTTTCCATTTTTGTCACAGGCACTTGATTAGTTGTCACTGTTGGAAGTAAACGAGATAAGAATTTTCTTAATATACACGTTTAATAATCACAGTACAGTAGACTATAAATGAAATATTTTTTTGCTAATGATTCTTTCATTTAAAAATCTTATAATTATGAAATTAATTATAGTATTTTTCATTCAAATGGCCATTATCAAGTGGCATACTTGTTTTATACAAACATTATTAAATTTTTAAAACAGTCATGTTTTAAAAGATACTGATTTTTCAGGAACTTATTTTACATGGTAATAAAAAAAACTATATATTTATTAGTTTAACGTTGGGTAACATAAATTCAAAATATTTACTCAGTAATTCCTATTGTTTTGTAATATTTCATTTATACAAATATCTAGCATTTAATGTACAATCTCAATAGTGTACTTTTTACATAAATGTACAAAATTTTTTCCAATTTTATACAAACCTTATATTTTTTACTTGATTTTGTTATTCAAACGATACATTTAGTTGCCACCATATTGATCTTAGATTATAAATAATTTTATTGCATTTCCACTTATAAGTATATTATATTTACATACGCCAAAAATTTTAAATAAAATTTAAATGTCAATTCAAATTAATGTAACTAGATATGAAATATCTAAATATTCACTTGTATATGACCATTTGTCTAAACATAGTTAAAAAATAAGATATAACATTGGCTAAATAATTTGTAATCCTATTTAAGTATATTTTTGCCTTTTAAAAATTCATCAATATCAATATATTAAAATACTTACAAAATTATTAAGTACATCAGCTGTAATATGAATCTAACAAAAACACGGTGATATACATAAATATTTTATGAATTTATTTTATACATTTAATATTAATTCCGTTAAAATCACTTCACACTTAATGTAAGTCTATGTAAATTTTTATACAATTATTTAAAATAAAATGTTTTGTTAATGCGAGTTAAAAATTACAGTAAATCTACGTAAAATTTTAAATTTTTAAATTTAAAGATACAATAATTGTAATAATTAATGATCAGTAATATTTAAATATACAATTAATAATCATTTTTGGAATAATTTTAATTAATATTTAAATAAAATTATATATCTTATATTTATACAGCTTTTTATCCAAAATCATGTTTCATAAAATATTAAAATACTTTTTATAGATAAAATTGCATGAACATTTCATATTTTTATATATTTGTACGTGGATTTATAATTTTGATAACAATTATTTATCCCTTGCAATTGTAAGCAAAATAAATTAAATCACATGGAACTATCATCAATAGATATTTTAAAATTATATAGTACTATTATAATTATTTAGTAACATTAATAATAATTTTTTATTTAATAATTGTTTTATTGATTTTAATATTTTATGTTTTAGTAACTTTCAATTTTACCTTTTATGTATTTTTTTGTTTAAATAGAGCAAAGATATGACAATTTTTTGTTACAATAGTTAACGTATTTTTAATAAAGTACCTTCGCAAATTGTCGCAAAAATTTTTTATTTGTACATACTAATTGACACAAAGATTTCTTCTGTAAAAAATTTATTTCTTATAAATTATGAATAATTCAATAAAATGTTCGCATTTTTAAAACATATTTTTCGTGATTCATAAATATATATTTATATAATTAATCAAGTATTATAAAATACTTTATTGATAACTTTAATTTTTGTTGGAGTTATTTACAATAATGAATTTTTTATCATCTAAACATTTGAAAATCAATCACAATTATATTACTATTCAAAATGTATATATCCACTTAAAAACATTGATTTGCACATGTGAATTAAAATTTGTAAATCATTGGTACATTTTTTTTATTTATTTATAATTGATAATAATTGATATCGATAAAAATATGAAAGACTGTATCACTTGTTATAATAAAAATAAAAAATATGATTTAAACAATTTTTCATTTTACATTCATGCTAATACTGCAGTAAAATTGGCGGAATATCGCTACACATGCAGAGTAGTTCAGAAAATAAAATTTTAATTACATACAAAAAATTTTTTATTCTAAAATCCCTAAAATTGAGTGTTTAAATCAATTCAAATATAATTCTTTAATAATTTATTCTAATTGTATATATAATTTGCTTTGTTTATGTGGTATCTCGATAGTATTACCCTGCTACTATTTTACGCCATTTACGAGATCTTTAGTATGACTGACTTCGTTAATTTTTCCATTTTTTATATTTTCTGGTACGGGATTACTGCTTAAGTAGCAATTTGCGTCTGAAGTGTTTGTTTGACAATTTATCAAATACGAATTGTGAGATATATCAACTCCGTTTTGACAATTTGATATTTCTTGAACGCAGTTATTCGTGCAATTTTGTTTTGTCGTTAAGTTTTGACTTATGATGTCAGTTCCGTTTTTTGAAAAAGGATGTCTAGTTTCACTGTGATTACTATTTTTGGAATTTCCTATGGAGCCTGTAAGATGTAACATTTCTATAAACTGTTATCATTGCTTTCAAGCTTTAGCCATTATTATGTTAAAAAAATTAATCTATTAGTCAAAATAAGTTTTCAATTTGTATGCATGTAAATTGATTTATGTAGATAAGTACAATTAATTTAATTCTTTTTAATATAATTAAAATGTTAAAGAAAAAAAATTGTTACTATATTAAATGTAATTAAGGGAATAAAAATTATATAAAATAATTCGATTGTCTATATAATGTATATAATAACTGCATTACTAAATTTTACTTAATTATGAAGTAATTTGTAATAAACAATACTGTATAAATAAAAAATACCTACTATTTAAGTTATGACAGTACTTGTTTGTACTATCCCATTCCTCGCACAAGCTTAAGTTAAACATGCTATAGTCAGGATTTCCAGTAACTTCTTTTTCAATTGTTAAAAACTGAGGCAGTATATTTTGTAACTTATCACTTGGTAATGCTGTATAAGTTTCCAGCAGCATCAAACCTTTACATCTGTTATAAATAAATAAAAGTAACATTTATTTACGTTTATATAATGTTATCATTGAACTTTACTATTTACCTTGGATGCGCCGGTTCTCTATAGATATCTAATTGAAAGTACTGATTATTAATAAGAAAGCAGCGACGACGTTTGAAGATTGTAAAGTGCGAGTCATCTCGTTGAGCTAACATATTTAAATAATCTCTGTGCGTTAATTGCGTTTTAACTTCAACAACCTGTCCGCACATCTTTGGTCGTCTTATAGTATGAATGTATGACCAATGACCTGAATAAATATTACGTTTGGATGATTTATTTGTGATTATGTTACTATAAGAAATAGGCGCATTAATATTATGTGAAAGCTTGTAATAATATTATTCAAATATTTTTTTAATTACGACGAAAAGGAATTTATCGCTTGATATTGCCAAAAATATTAAAAAAATCATTTTGAGTAGCTTCTCGTTTGATTTTGTTAGCTTATGTTTAATGTGCAATAGTAATATAATAATTCAATACCGTTTCACGTCACAATTGTGCAAGAAATTATTTCAATTTTTGTATTATAATTTTAAGATATTTTTAAAAAAATAATATTTGTAAAAATTTTTATATATTACGAAATAAAATATATGAACGTAATACTAGTATAAAAAAAGCATAATTAATTACATAATATTCTTATTTTTTAGTTTTAATAGTTTACAAGTAGCCTCAAAATCTTGAAATATCGTACCATTTTGTCCACGCTTCCTAAGCCGCGCTTGGGTCTTTGGATTATTACTTTGTAAGTAGTTGTGGACGACATCGAAATCCTGAAAAGGTGGGAAGTCGATGTCAAGAGGCAGCGGCCCCTTGACCAGAAACTTGACCTTCCTACTACTAGCACGCAAACGATCTCCGGTATCAATGCCGAGCTTCTGACACACGCACTCAATCATTCGACAGATTTTACTTTCAAAATCCTGAGAGTTATCGATGACATCAAAGTAGGGGTGACCCACCCAAGCTGAAGCAGCTTTGTAGTCTAGTTCGCGGGCAAGCTCAATACCCTCGGAACGGCAAGTATGATCTTCAGTTGAGTAGAAGTCCTCGGCGCCGTTGGCCGCCGAGACCATATGGATAATTTGGTTGTATCGTGTATCTCGAAGCTCGACGTTGTTCCAACCATTGGATGCCATCATCAGTTCCCATTTGTCCTTTGAAATAACTGCGAGTGTAAGCGGTATTATCGTTCAATCGCTTCATCTGTCTTTTTAAAACTTGATTAGTTTTAATTAAAATCTTAACGTTGATATATTCAAATGGCTAATGTTGAAAGCATTTTATATACTCACTCGATAATATAAAAAATAAACAAATTTTCTGACTATAAAATGAAATATATTTATTCTAGTTGCTATTGTAACACGATTTAATCAAGAATTTATGATTCGAAATACTAATCAATATTATTGTTATTTTCGTTGCAGTTATTGACAATACAATTACTATAGTTAAGTTAATTTAAAAAAAAAAATATTAAAGATTTCCATCATATTTATTTTATTTTTCACTTCTGATAAATATTCATATATCAGTATTTTGTCATTTAAATATGAAAATTATTTAAATAAAAAACTTACATGCAGATGCATCCATTGCACCGCGATCACAAATAATAAGGCAATTTCTGGAAAGGCTTTCACCCAACTGGAAAAAAGTGTTTTCAATCTGAAGCATAGTTTTCAGCAAATTTTCTTGAAACTTGAATGCTTAAACAAAAAATACAAGTTTTCTGTTAATTAGTGAACTCATGCATTGTTGATAATTTAAAATAGTCTATATAACTCTACAATATTACCTGTCTAAACGTTTTTTTATCTTATTTATTAATTAGGATGTTTCATTAAAATTTACAAAAAAAAATTAAGGTATTTTTAAAAATATTATTATTTTAAAGTATGTATCCATCCATAAATCAAGAATTATAAATCTCCCCTTTTTTGTAAATACATTATTTATTAACAATTCATGAAAAGAATAATTAATTTGTTATATTTAAATGAAAGAATTAGATATATAGCAGTTTTATTTATTTATGACAAATATACCACAAACAACATATTAATCAATTTCTAACAATAAGTATTTAATTACATTTGGCTATGAATTTTTAAACGATTCACTAATTGTAAACCTTATATAAACGTAAACCAAATATAACATTCTGCATTTTATTTCTTCATGTGTTTCATAATACAAATTAATTTAATAAATGAAATTCGCTTTTTGAATAACGCTTTTCTTTAGATACGTAAAATATTCCGTTTGAATATATAACTTGAATAATTATACCTTGACAGCAAAAATTTTAATTTATGTTAAAAGACTATATTTTCTGATAAATTTTCAAACTTAATAGACTTATTAATAAAAAATGAAAGCGATAAGTTGTAAGAAAAGTCGATATAATCAAAAAGCTTTCAGTTACAAGTTTATTTTTTAAATATCTCAAATTTTTTATATTTAAAACAATTTTTTCTATAAACAAAATAATTATTATTAATACAAAATAGTGCCCATAATATAAAAAAGGTTTACTTCTTGATAATGAATTTTATTACTTTATAAATGTCTAAATATTGGTAATAAGTAAACGATTAGTGATTTAATATGTATTAAATAAATGTATTAAATAAATGCATGAATAATTAGTGTTCTGTATTTTAATAACTATTCGTTTAAAGATAAATAAATTGTCGAATTTATTTTAATTAACGCAGACAATGCTTCTTTCCTTTAATAATTAATCATTAACTATTTCTAATATATATTTATATCATATGTACATAAAATTTTTAATTATCTCTATAAATAATTATATCTAAAAATGACAAATTAAAGAATAGTTATATTAAAATAAATAAATAAATAAATAAATAAATAAAAGTAAATAAATAAATGAGTAATCAATATAATTATGTAAATTTGGTGCAATTAATTGATTGGCTTTATAATCTAATATAATCAGATTGTGTGAATAAAATTAAATTTGCGATAAACTTGATCTGTTGGAACGTATTCGACAAAAATATTACCATCATATATCTACATGTCTAATAAATATTTAAATTAATGATAAATCTTAATAAACTGTCAGGCCTCGTCTACAAATTAAAATACAATTAGAATAAATTGAAACTAACGAAAGAAAAACTACGTTCTAGGAAATTATAGAATACAGTAATAATTGTACGATACAATAGAACCAGATGTTAGGCCTAATGACATGAAATAGTTTGTAAAAGAAATCAAACGAAAATAATCTAAAAATATAGCAAAAATCGATATAAAACTACATAGACTAATTTTTTTATTATAAATTGTATATAAATTACATTGTATATACTGTATTATAAATTATATTTAAACAATTATTGTGAGAATTATATAATTATACAAAATTAATCAATGTAAAATGATTTATAGCATTTGAATTTAATTATATTATTAATATATCTAAATATTAATGAAGAATTTAAAAAAATGATACAAAAATTCATTTTCGAGAATTGTCTGTTTTCACCTGTTTTTCCGTTGAGCTAATATTGTGAAAAATGTAGCATCTTTATAATAAGCACCAATTGTTGTATTTTTATATAATACTACTAAATCTAATTATTTATCATTTAATAAATATTAGTATTATAAAAAAAATTATGTTGATGTATTCTGTATTATAATTATTCGTGTATACGCGTACTACAATAAGATATAGATTATAAAATATATAACCCACATAATACGAAATTTGTTATTAATTAATTAATTAATTATATGGCAGTATTTTTTATTTCGTTTTTGCGATGAAAATTATTTCTGTTAATAATACACTGTATACTTTAAATCGGTTTTCTATGTTAAATATACAATAGAAGAGTGTATCAAAAGTATACACAATGAGCCTGTGCTTTTATGTGAACATTTTCAATTTTTTTTCTTCTTATATCAAGTAGTTATTTATAGTTTTTATAATTTACATTAAATAGCTGTTTAATTCATGATCCTTCTATGAATTTAATATTTATGAATTATTATTTATTCATAATTGATAAACAAAATTATAACTAATTTCATGAAGCTTCAGTAAAGTTTTAGAGGACCATTATTTCAACATTTACGATAAGCAACAACAAAACTATAATGCTACATTAGGACACGTGCAAACTCACTCTCATAAGAGCTGATTGAAAGAAATACAGACCACTTTATTTGATCCTTTATAGAAGTTTTCCAATCTTGGGCCAAAGGTTTAACTATCACAAAATTTTATTTGGCATAATCATAGCCATCATACCTTCAAAGGTAATAATACTGATTTGATATAATCTTATATAAGAATCTTCTCTAATGTATCTTTTTGAAATTCAAATTAAATCATTAAATTTATATATTTGATGATATATCTAATACTTTACTATATAGACTACATTAATATTTATCACAATTAATGATATTATTAATAATTAATAATTAAGAATTAAAATTTTGGTGCTTCTTAAAGAAATTTTGAAATTCTCAAATAGACAGCACTGTATTTCTTAAAGGCTCCAATACATTTGTGAAATCTTTTAATTAAAAGGAAAAAACTTTAAATGTAAAGATTTTAAAGAATTACAACATATTTATGATAAAATAACAATAAATCTGTTGATGCTTTTTATTCTTAAAAGGTTGGTAATAAATGTTTCTAAAAATACCTGTATTACATTTAAAATTAAATTTCATGTACTATAAATGCTGGGTTTCGGGAAGATGAAAGCATGCGCTACAGTATCAAATATTAAAAATCGATTCTTATGTAAATATATAACATTTTATTGTGTACAAATATCAACATTTACCAAGTAAAAGACATAAAATAAATATAACAAAAAAATGAGAATAAAAACCTTGTCAAATATAATATTGATTCTATAAAACAAATTAAAATAATTTCGTTTAATAATATATGATGATGTATGAGGTGGGGGGGGGGGTACAGAACTTGACTGCTACTGAACATCCAGACAAGTGGAAAAAGTAATGTAAGTAAATAATCAACGAGAACGTTAAAGTAAGTTTTTTACACACTCGTGAACCTTGTACGTAACGCAAACCCATCAAACATGTCAAATATAATTACAATCGGCCAGCGATTGCTTTCGTGTGAATATTGATTGACTAGCTGTGACAGATACATCAAAGATGAACCAACGGAGCAAGAGAATGGAAAAGGGAATAGCCGTACAACCTTGATCGCGTAAACGCTTTTCTACGTATAAATTAACGCACGTGCAAATATTGAAGCACTTACATTTTTTTTTTACTACACAGTGTGAACAATAGACTCGCGAATTTTATGTTACTTCTTCCCATTCTTACCCTAGTCTTTTACCATTCAAATGGTATCAACACTTTTATTTGGTGTTTTTTAAAACTAAGTTAACCTCGCACACATCACGGTCAAACTACAATAAACGTAATTATATATGTACAGGCACGCAAAAATAAAATAGAAAGATACAATTCATTTTTAAACTTCAAATTGAAAACTAAAAAACACTATATTATGCGATACTACATCTTGTTTAAACATTATAATTCTTGAAAGATCATAATTAATATTCGAATTTAATATAAAATAATATCAATAAATAAAGCAATGTAGAATTGCTGTTCATGTATGTGTGAAATCAATTATATCGAATATATTTTTGAATTTACTCATTTTCTTTTTAAAGAATTTAAAAAAAAAAAACAAACATTGGTTGTACTTTCAAATTTTTACACAACTATTAATATCCATATGATTATTTAATTTGTTTACAAAACGGAGAATAACAATTCACAGTAATCCTTATTTTATTTTAGTGATATTAATTAAATTCTTATTTAGTACAATAATTATTCGAGTTTAAAAATATTTTTCAAAAATATTATTTTTAATCAATTTTCAAATAATACGTGAACACGATTATTGAAAATATTTTCTAAATATTTTTTTATTTAAATATTGTATCTATTGTGCGACAAAAATGAAACACTTGGCATCAAGTATTTTTGTTATTACGCTGTAATATTTATTTATAAGTAATTAAAGACGAAAATGTCTATGCTTATGCAATACCAATATTTCTTATGAATTCATATATTTTTTTCATCAACAAAGCAAAATATACACATCTATGTTTTTATAGATTATAATAATTAATGTTTTTTTTTTATCGACAGCTTTTACTTTTTGAATTTGTGTTTTTTATTATAATTTTTATTTGAAAATTTTTAATATACTTCATTGTGGTTTTGTAACATCTATATTAAATTTAATAATATAAAATTTATTTCTTAAAACGTTATTTATACATTGAATAATCAAACTTTCATTAATATAATATTTTACTTTATATGTTTTTGAAATATGAATATCAACATTCACAAACATGATCCATTTAATTACATTGCATTATTCCTATTATTATTAAACTGTTAAAATGTTAAATAACATTTGTATTAAATTGTAATTAATTATAAAATCTGAAAATGTTCTGAAAGCTTACATGTTTATTCTAGTATTGATAGTAGTTATTCATTCGTCCTCTATAATTAAACTATAACGTGAACATTTTTCTACAAATTAAAAGATTTTTTATATGCAAAAAAAGAAAACTGAAAAAATTGCCTTCAATGTCGTGAAATTCTCGGATTCCCGACATTAATTGTAATAAGGGAATCATGAGATTTCGATTAATCCTTAAGCGATTTAAAGAGACTAATTTGCCTTTTCTTTCGTTGTGCATTTCATAAAATGACACCAACCTAATGATACATCTACATTAAAATTGACCTCACGTTAACTAATTCCACATAATTATACGCAAATAATTTGTAAATTAAGAAAATACGTGACTCGGGAACAGTTTTATTTATGTTACATTTCATTCACCAATGACATATTGAAGGTGATATAAAAATTGTATTGTATGCATAATTAAATATTATTTTACGTAGTAAAATTAATATTTTCATAGATATATTTTTTTAATATTGGCATATTTTATATGCAATTGTATATTTCTTTTTTTTCTGTAACATGAAAAAAGAAAAATGAAAATAAAATTGTTTTTCATTAGTATAAACATAATGTAAAGTGGTGCATTTTAGTATGTATAATTTTTCATAGCTACAGATTTTTAATAGAAATAAATTTATTTTAAAGTAAAATTAAATAAGTGTATATAATTATGCAATTTTATTTACTTTTTTTATAGTATTTAAAAGTTACTAATAAGTAATAAGGTCTAACGTGCTTGTATTTATTTAATTAATAACATAGAATTTTTCTTTCATAACTGAAACAATATAATATAAACTACTTAAATATTAAATCGAATTCTTTAATTTAAAAAATTTTATGACTCTAAAATAACTCTTCTACACTTGTTTAAGGGAAATTTTAAAATAAGGTAATCGAATAAAAAATAACATAGAAAGTAAATTTCTTCAATCAAAAAATTGAATATATTAAAACAGAATTTTAAAAAAATTTATCATAATTTGTCATAACTATCTGAACACATTATTTTTATAATTTTATGCACAATTATTTGAACTATTTAATAGCTTAATATAAATTGCAATTCATAATTTTACAATTCGAAAAAAAAAAATTAAACACTTATTTATTAAATCTAATATATTGAATTTGTTCTTTAATGATTTTTGTTTTTCAATTTAGTTATGCACAAAAAAAAGCAATAAATGAATAAGTGTATAAGTAGAAAAATCAACCATTTATAATTAGATATTAATATTCATAAATGCATCGAATAAATTCAGGTAATCAATAATATGTCAGAACAATTATTATCGCATTAATTATAAAGTCGATGATTTTCATATTATAATGTAAATAACAATCCTTTCAGTAATTAGCCATCCTATTGGAAGAGATCCAATAATCTGTTACGTAAATTTATATTTCTTGCGTCATTGTTTTAAAAAGAATTTTCAACTCCAATTTTATTTACTGTCACAAAACTTATCAAGAAATTATTTATGCTAGAGTGAAAACTAAAAAAGTGAAACAAATATGTAAATAAATATTTTTTAATTTTATAAAATATAATTCATGCACATTTCGGTCGAAAGGGTTTACAATAAATTAAATATTCATAACTGTAAGATAACGAAACTTTTTTGATTGAATGTTTCTGTGATTTTTTTATTTTATCAACTCTATAACATTTTATTAAAGAATCTGCAAATTTTAAATATTTTTAATTTTGTTCTTTAAAAATGAATTTAATTTATAGTTATTAGGAAAAATTGATAAAAATACGTTTTAATACTTCAGTTATACAAATTACGATTTTACACAGATATAGTTTATTATTGAAGTATTTACACAAATTTGAAGTATATATGATGTTCTATTATATAGTAGTTTTTTTAATTATAAATCAAATTAGACGCCATATAATATTCATTAATTCCAACTAATTAGATTTATTTATAAAATTAATTTTAGTTTAGCAATAATATACAATTTAGATTATAACATTTAATTGAATAGAATATTAAGAAGTCGACCATACTACATTAGAAAGTCGTAATATTAAAATCGTGTAAGAGTTCACCGACTACATAATAAAATTTTGCATTGTTAATGTATAAAAAACAAAATCTGCTTAATGATTCAGCATGTTCGTTTTTAATGAAATTTGACTTTCTGAATTTGGAATACTTAAATTGATTCACCAATGTGAACCACTGTTAATTTATTTTAAATAGAATATTCAATGGTTCAAAATAGAATATTAAACTTATTTTTACTTAAAAAAAGAACGAATAAAGAAAAATAAATAAGTTTTTATACATACATACATTTATGTTGACTATAATTTAGCTTATAAAGCACCAATTTTTCTGACTGGAGTATTATTCTCAAAGAAAACAGGCTTATAAACAAGGCTATTCTAAGGAAACTCTCTTTCTCTATAAGATTAATATATTTTAAAAATTTAACGCACCTTCAATAATAATTTTATATAATGTGATTATTTATATTTCAATTATAAATAATTGAAATAATTCTCAATTATGAATTTTACATCAATTTTATAAAATATAAGAAATAATTAATATGAAGATTTTCTAATATAATTCGATAGATCCATTATCAATAGATCTTTATGACTTCTAAATAAAACATAGATATAAGAAAATTAGTATGTATTAAGCTATTTCACATAAAATATTAGTAATAAACATATTCGTGAAAAAAATCTTCATGTTTGTATGAATTATACAATTATAAAGAATTTTATAAATTTTATAAATAAAAAAAAAATTAAAAATTATTTTTTTAAATACCTACGCATGAATTAACAGTAATATTCTGCACCCGTATTTATAATATATAATATATAATAACGAAATTTCATTTTCTCTTTTTTTTTTATAAAACAATAAATCCAAAAAAAAATTTTATTATATATTTTCTGAATTGTGAGAATGCAAGAAGCACTTGAATTTGTTAAATATATTTAATTATCCGTTATTTTTAATATATTAAGCATATGTCTTGTGCTTTGTAAAATGTTTTATATAATCCATGTAACAATTATCAATTTGTTAAAACGATATTTTAATTCTGTTGTTAAAAATATTGTTCAAAAAGGTTTTGAAAATAATTCATATATACATTCATTATTTTATGTTTTTATACCAGCGTGGAGCCATTGTCCATTCAATTAACATTCAAATAATTTTAAATACAAGACACATGTTCTACTGATGTTTGATATAGTTAAAAAATAATTTCTTTGAAAAATTTATTATTATGTTCTTATATATTAAGATAATTTAAAGAGAAATAATCCCTTTATAGTAGAAAAAATTGTTAAAAAAAAAAAGAATACTTGGATATAAATAAATATATTTACTTGCTCTTGAATCTTAAACGATTAATCGCGATCGTAAACTTAGTAATTATTTTTTCATTAAATACATATTTATATAATAGAAGTATATTATGTTATTTAAATTTTTAATAATCATGTTAGAGTAAATACGAATTACAAATATATAAGCGTTATAATATATTGTTTAAAACAAATATTATTTTGTTTATAATTTAATAAGTAGATGAATGGTAATGATAATAATAATAAAAGAATAAAAGTAAAAAGAATTTAAATGTACTGAAAAACTTTTGTATTAAAAATAATCGTTTGATTGTTATATATCTACCCTTACGTTTTTTAATTTATATAATATTAATGATAATAAAAATTAATCTAAATACCGATAAACGTTAAATTAAATAAGTGCCTGTTAGAATTGCAGAGTTTGTCGATTTTTACGAAAAACTGGCATAATTTAAGTATGCTACGATTATTTACTTTAAATAATTTTAGATAGTCATTAGCGATTACCTGACGATATCGTACTATCTAAAAATTTCAATAATTTGCAAAAACTAATAATTAAGATAAATTACGTTTTATTTGATAATGATTAAAAATTATTTTAATAGTATCATAAGTTGTTGGCTTATGCTCATTTTAAATAATATTTAAAAACAACTTACCCTGTTCTGCATTCAGGTCTGTAAATTTGATGCCGCCGCTGAAATTGAAAAAAGCAGACCGAGGGTGAAACTGTAGCCTTATAAACCTGCTTCCCTAATTATGATATTCAACCTTTATAAAATTAATTGAATAAATTAATATTTTTTGAAAACGCGAGGATTCAAATATAAGTCTTTATTTGTTTATTAATTTTGTTAAAACATTTTTCAAAATATTTGAATTAAAATACATAAGAAAATTAATTAGAAATTAATATTATTATTACTCATTACTTTTTATTTAAGACTCGTATTAATTATATTTGAGTTACATTAATTTTTAATTAGATTATAAAATGAATATATTGCAAATTGTCTTTAATAAATAGAATATTAATAACTATCGATATAATAAACATTGCTTAATATTGCATATTATTAAAATATCAGAAGATAAATAAGTGTGAGTAGTCGTATAATCTGAGAAAAATTTGTCTTGTCAAGAAAACAATATGCGTTAGGATAATAAATTAATAAGCTTACAGTCCCTAATTCATAAAACCACAAATTATTAATGAAGCTCTATTGAATTTATTATAGTTTAAATTATGTTGGAGTTTAATCCTTTAATAATTATTAATCAACATTAATAGTTTATCGGAAATTTAAATAGTAACGTTAAATTTAAATTTATAAATATTAATTAAAATAGATTAGGTCATATAATTTATAATGAAATTTAATTTATAATAAAAATACGTCGTTTAATTTAGTATTTGCTTTATGGAGATAATACTCATTGCAGTTTTTTATTTATTGAAAATGCGAAGTTTGTTAGCGTGTAATTATGGCATACCTGAGCAGCACGGTCGCTGTCTCGGGAACACGGAACACCTGAAAAAGAAGACAACCACCACTCTATCGAATCCACAACGAAGGTGACAATTCCAAAACCAGTATACTTTTTTCATTTTATTTTGATAGTTTTTGTACCCAGAAAAACAAGAAAATCATAGTTGCCGACACTTTTTATGACATCGAAATAGTGTCGAACATTCAAAACGCATAAACCAATAAGATTTTCGTAGATATAAATTTTTTATCTTCATATATTATTATCTATCACAATTTTTTTCTCTCTTAATATTGATTTACACGATCTGTTAAACATTTATTTGAAGAAGAAAAAAATTGTTATAATTGGACAAATGGAACAACTACTAATAATTATAATGATACAATGAGCTAATAATGTATAAAACATAACAGTATTTAATAAGTTAAATAAAGATTTTTCATAAATTTTATTGTTATTGTTACAATATGCATATTTTAAGAACTATTTACATTGTAATTTGTATTTGATTAAAAAACAATCCATTACGCAGCAATATTTTTTCTATATTATAGATTGATAATGAAAAAACTATTAATCATATCTAATAAACAATAATTAAAATATAATTGAATTCCTATAAAATAAATAATTATATATAAATATATTATAAATATTAATAATCTATTTTCACTTACGAGCAACTTGTATGTAACAGATTTTGCAAGTGGTATTATATAATTTTGATATATGGTTAAGCAGTTTAAATTTTATAAACTTTATCCAGAATAATTATTTAACTTTGAATTTAATTCAATATTATCGTGAATAATAATAATAATAAATACACGGGATAGATTTTTTCAATTAGAAACATTTTAGAATGCTCAAAGTATACACGTCTAAAGGAAAAATCGAGCAATTAAACATTTTATTTTTCTTTAAAAAAAAAAAAAAAGTACTTTAAGAATAACACTTTTTTTTTAATACGCTGTATTTATACAAACCTTAATTATTCATAACTTTGAATTCTCACATTCTCTACAAATTGTCCTTTTTCTTATTTATAACGAATATTAAAAATAAACAAGAAACATTCTTTAAACTATTATAACTTAAAATTGTTATAGTAAAAAAATTAATACTGTGACACAATATGCAAAAGTATACGATTTGATTAATTTATGGAAAAGTCCACAATATTTTTATATTCTTGTAGTCTTAAGTCGCTTTCAGAATAATTCAAGTGAATTAAATTAATTGAAATTGAATTAATTGAATCTATATTTAATGGGTATATGATGGTTGTCCAAACATATTAAACTTAATAATGTACGATGCAGTTGTAAATTACTTATTTAATACGTATCAACTAATTACTATTATAACCGTAGATCACAACAGTTTCTACATATTAATTAGTATTTATTCGTTATAAAACTAATCATTTCGAAACAAAGTTGAATATATGTTAACCGAAGTAAAGTTACTAAAAATTGATCATATTTGTATTATATCATAATATGATATAATACATGTCAAATGATCCATTATGATAATTGTTACCTCCACAATACTCTATTGTTCAATAGATACATCAATAGACTTTATAAAGTTCAATATCATTTATATAGATATTTTTAAAACGACGAAATTACAATAGAAAATTTCTAACCTAATACTAATTGACATTTGCTATATAAAACATATTAAATGGTTTTATCTATTATGTTTATGTATTATACAAAATTTTAGTATCTCCATTTATAGCTACTTTTTAAAAAAAAATCTTCAAAACTATGATACACATTTGTCAAAAATTGTAATAAACTTTATTGGGTTAAATATGATTTAACATTTGAAATTGATAATCTTATAAAATAGAATCTAAGATGAATTGGAAATTTATACCATGAAAGTAAAGAAAGTTGTATATTTCAATAATCTCTACTTTGTTAAGCAATTATATACTAAAATTTTACATTATTTTAGCTTTAATTATTAATGAGATTGAATTGACCTATCGCTAATGCTTATCCTCGGTGAAAATTTAAAAAACACTTGATGCAATACAACAAAATAAACTTTTTCTGAGAGCATATTCTCTTAGTCGGTTTTCATTTTTGTCAACTGTAAATATCATTTATTATTATCGCTTATTTAAAGATATTAAATACTTCCTCTTTCGATATATAGATATAGAATATATGCGTAGGTAATATACATGTAGAAAATTTGAATTTAAACAGAGTATCAATATCTTAAACCAGTTTTGAATAAAGAATTCGATTTTGCTACTTTCTCGTTATATAGATTTAAAATCATCGACTTCGTACAGTAGTAATTTGTAGCTTTAATGCTACATTATTTCTATATGTATTACCATTAGTACCAGTTATTATTCTTTCAGAGTAATTTGTACAGTTTTACTACGAAAATGGATATTTGAAAAACTGATTTGAAATATTATTCATAATAGTGGTAACTGTTTTTTCAAAGTAAATACTGTAGGCTTATATATTTATTATATTTCTGTAAAAAATTTATATAAATCTATTGCTTGTATTTAATACTTGCAAATAATAAATCACATTAATCTCTGTAAATATCATTATCGCTTTTAAATTTCTTAAATTGACATTAATATATAATGTGACTTCACACTTATTATTACTGTAAATTATGTCTAAATAATTTTGAATTTTCTAAAATGACAAACTGAAGAGATTTTATTTCATTTTTCAAAATAACAGAAAAATTAATCAAATTATTCAACCAATATTTTATTTAAAATATAAAATATAAAAATTAAAATTTTAAGTTTTACGTTAAACTTTTATAATTATCAGTTTAATTATTCATTGAAAATATATTTTAGGTTTCATATTAAATGAAACAAGCTAAATGGTATGTAATATGCGAATGTAAAAATAGCTACTTTATAATAAAATGTATTAGAATTAGAATCTATTAGAATTTATAATAAAACTGTATTAGAATATATAATATATAATATATTCTTCCTTTTAGATATTATTAGGCTCTTATCCGAAACCCGCATGATTAAAAATTTTTTCATCAATACAATTAATTAATATTATTAACTATTAAGGAATATTAAACGATCTAAATATAAAAAATTATGGATTAATAATATTAGATGCAAGAAATACGGTAAAAATTGCAACATGGAAGTATACGAGTTTTATATTTTTTATAAAATTTTAAGCAATTTTTAATACCATGAAATACTCGACGACTTAACATAAAAGAAGATTATTGGTATCAATTCATAATTTACAATATTTATAAACACAACATCATATTTTCAAAATGTAATGATTCAGATTAATAAATTACAATTGTTTAGCTAACATGTTTTCTTTAATGATCAGTAAAAATTTTTAAAATTTGTTTTATATCTTAGTACGTAACCAATTTTATTTATCAACATATAATTTAATACGCATAAAATATAATAATTATATATTTTTTAAGAATAAGATTTTAATAAAATAAAACTAACAAAAAAGTATTGTAATAAACATACTTTAAATATACATAAAAAAATTCTTAAAATTCTTTATATCATTTTGTGAAACTTAATTTTTTTCTCTTTTTTTGAAAGATAAAATATTTCTTTCTTATAATTACATACCGTGTAACTACTTCTCTGAAGATGTGAAAGATACAAAAGGTAATGTTACTTTCAGGTTTAATAAATTTTAAGACCAGAAAGAATAATGTCAAGCAAATCAATACATTTTAAATTTACAATTAATTAATTACATATGATGTAATTGTAATGTATTAAGTGTATTAAATGTATTAAGTATCATTGTAATTTTTTGTATTTGTTTTTATATATCCGTAATTGGTCACATATTAAAAAAAAATTTAATCTTAATAAAACTAAGATTTTAAATTAATAATTACAGAGAGATTTAAAAATTGGTAATGTATTATACCCATCCAATATAAAATTAAAAAAAATATAAATACTCACTTTTTTTTTATCGATGATGAATTAAAACGATTTATAATAGAATGGAGATCTTCTTTCATATTTATGTTAAAAGATACAAATAAAGTCATATTTTTAATAATGTGAACAATATTATATTAATTGAATTGTTGAACTGCTGAGATAAAGCAAAAATTTTTGTTCTTTGTATCATCTAATTTAACATATTGTTGTTCGTAGTTAGTATCTTAAAATTTTGATAGTTGCTTTAGACTTTTGCTTTAGAACTTTTAGGTATATATTTCGAAATGTTTTATCGATTAAGTAAGAAGAAAATAAACATGATTTTTCCATCTAAATTATTCTTAAGATAAAGTATATTTAATTAAAAGCTTTTATTATTAAAATTGGTCAATTTTGTATATACCGAATAAAAGAAATGATAATGAATCATTCATTCTTTTTTCTTGCGTATTTATAATATATATAGCATATTAAATGCTTTGACTATATTATTAACAACAAATACTTAAATTTTAATTTTCATATAATTTGTATATTATTATTTACATGTCAATGTTTACATGTCGTTATACGTTTACATGTCTTATTGGTTTATGCGGCCTGTTCCGTATTTGTTTACGAAATGAAATGAGCTATCTAATCAGTGAAATAAATTAAGTATTTCAAGAAAAGTTAAGGGAGATGAAATTTTGAGCAAAATCCAAAGGGCTTATCGTTAATAAAATGGGTCGTAGAAGATAGAAGAAAATGCAACATTTAAAATAAAGAGGATGACACTTTTTATATTATTCTTTTTCGTGTATATACATGTGCACGTATGCATGTATATATATACACACACACATACATACACATATAAGAGAGAATTAATATAAAAATCTATATTGAATGGTTTAACCGACCATTTTTTGTTAATTTAAAAAATATAAAATTTTGCTATTAACAGTCTCCATGGAATGTGAAAAACTATGAAATACAATTATCTACACACCTTCCATCCTAGGTTTTCAAAAAAGGTGCACAATCTAGTTTGCCCGGTGGTTTTGCCTCCGCATGGTCCTGAAAAGCAAAAAATAATAATACAGAAAAGGTTGAATACACGGAGAATAGGAAATAGATCAACAATAATATACTTGAAAAAATAGATTTATTTTATTACGCGAAACAAAAAAGTATAATAATTAAATATACATCTTTATTTATTCTTCAATATGAAATTGATAAAATCTATTGTGTATTTTATATAGTTGTTCGTATAAATTTAATTTAATAAATTAGCGTTGAGTTTAAATATAGCTATGTTGAGATATTTGTATCTTAACATATCACAGCATCTTCTATTCGCCAATTTTTTATTACAAATTTATGGATAATTTTGTAATTTTTATAAGTACATAATATTTTAATTATTTGGGATTTATTAATTGGACTACTACATATTGTATATACACTACATTTACTATTCAGTTAGTTATTTACATTTTTAGTTACATATATCAATAAATCGATTTACTACTTCTCTTCTAACACCGATTAAATAGCTTTGACAGACTTGTTAATTATCCTACAGTTATTAATTAATATATTTTTAATTGGTATGCATCCTGCTTCGTTTTAAGTCTACATCTAAAGATTTTTTAATATGACATTAAATTAACTAATCTTTATCCAAGTTTTCCATTATTCTCCAACATAAAAATGTACTTCGTATATTTTCGTAAATTTCAATATTATTATGAATATGATTATTACTTAAACATAAATAAAATTAATAAATATAATGCTATGTTATGATGAATAGAAAATGAAAATGTGCTACCAAGTGCGTCGTTTAACAATTTAAAAATTATCTTGCTGGTGGGATATGATTGATTGAAAATTTTTAATTTTTCTATATATATATTATAATAGAAGTTTACCAGAAATATTTATAAATGTATAAATACTTCTTGATTGCTATGATAAATTTTTTTTTTTAATTTAATAAATATATAACTATATAATTTACAATTTGTTTATAGCAATATATACTTCAACATATTAATAATGGATTGTAATTTACTACAATTAATAAACTAATTTCTTATTATTAATTTATCTTATTACCCATATACCATATATTGAAATTCATAAAAGTACCGAAGTATCTTAAATTTTTGGCAAAATTTTTAAATGCATATTTTCATTCGCATATTATAATATTTATATATTTTTAATTTTCTTATAGTATTAAAAAGTTCTGTTTCTTATGTGTAAAGATAATAGACTAGCTCCAATGTCCTTGAACAAGATTATAATAGAATATGTCAAATGCAATAGCTATGGATATAAAAACTACATCACAATTTATCACATATTAAGGCGTTATATTCACGTGACAAATAAAATAATTTATGTTTATAATAACAAAACGTAAGTATCAAATACAAAAGATAATTACAATATAATCAATTTTTCCTAATGTTCACACTTGTATATTTTTTCTGTTAATATAAATAGAATTAATGTTAATGTCAATGATAGAAATTTAATGTAAAATGATTGTAATATCATGAAAATGAGTACTATGTAATATTGATTTATTAAGTGATATTTATAATGTACGCACTATTTATTGTATCACAAAAAATTGTATGTTTAACTAATAGAGATGATCCTCTTATAAAAGCGAAAAATGCTTATAATATTCATCTTTAGATCGTCTACTGGCAGTAGAATGTCGTTCGTTACAAATGTCATTAATTATCTGTAATAAAAAAAATAATTTATCCGGATTGAGTACTTATTACTGGAAATAATTGTACTTTCTATGAGTACGTGATTTTACATCTATCGATATTAATTAATCCTTTTCTTTTTCTACGCCCATTACTTAAACTAATGCATATGCATCTAGTGATTGACAGGAAATTCGGCTGTGCGTCCAAGCATTGTTGCATATGAATGCAGCTTTGTATATCGTTCAGGAAATAAATTTATTGAAAAATTTATTTCTGAGATACATGAAATGAGCACTGTCTGTGCCAAACAACAACCTCACTGTTTACGCAATTAATTAAAATTTTAGCCCATTGTGAGATTTTTTAACGCTATTGAATATGCGCTTAAAATATACTCCGAATAACTTTATAATATAGCTTTTCAGATAATTGCATAATCTTGCATTTTAATAATTATTGTTAAAGATTTTCTACTGTTTACGTCCGGGCATTATCCGTAGCAATTATTATTATTATTGTCTAAATAGTGGTATTTTATTAAATAAATCTTTATCTTTATCTTTAACTTTATCTTTGTAATCATATCACTGCTAAAACATTGATTGTGATCGAGCCGCAAAATGCGAAATCAATTGCTAAAATCAATTTTAATAAAAAATTAATAATACAAACTTTATAAATAATAAAAATTTATTATGAAAGTTCTCGTGCAATAAGGAGCATAGGTGAAATTAAAAAAAAAAATTATTTCGATTATTAAGCGAGCTTAATACGGTAATGCAGATTACAAATACATAGAGTTTTTAAGTTTGAAAACAGCTAGAATGTATAAATTTGACGTTTCAAGTACTGTCTACATTATTGTTAGTAGAGTATTATGCATCGTGGAATTTTTCTTATTGATTGACATTCAAATAAATAATACGTAATAATACGTACTAAAGGTAGATAAATTATATCTCAGACCAGTTTTTACGAAATCAAAGATGATAAGTATTTGATAATTAAAAGTCTTAATAATGACTAACAATAATTTGTCAATAGTAACGTCAATTAAGAATAAACTTAAGTAAAAGGATGAACGAAATGTGAAAGGACGTAGATTGAAATTGTATAACACTGCTTTTATATACGCCATACCCAAGAAGATATAAGACAAACTAGACGAGTAGACAAAATAAAGCGCCACGTCGCGGCTGTTACGACGACCATCCACGAACTCTAATATCAAAAAATACGAGGAAAGCGCCTCGTGGCTCATATTACTTTGTGGAATTGAGCTTTTCAAGAACGGTCTTCATAAAGGTTCGTGTCGATAAAGCATTATCCTGGCCATTATTGAGATATCTGGTAAACATCACCACTATCGTTATATCCAGACTACAGAATGGGTTTAAAATACTACCGTAAAAGATAAATATAGAAGGGTTGGAAGGGCATGGGGAATGGGTAAGGGGGGGGGGGAAGGGTCACGTAACATTCCACAACCAAATCTTTTAAAAATTTATTATGAGCCAGCGAGACTCCGATGCTTTCGCAAGGCATTATTTTAATAATTTTATTTTATAAGTTTGACCAGCTTGGCGGGCGCGCGGCACAAAGTACCTTCCTTATATAAAACCAAAATGACAAATAACATGTCGCGATCCAACTGACCAGTTCGTTTAATTTAAAATTTAAAATTTATATCGTCGAGAGAACCATTCCAAAGATACATTACCATTTAATTCTAATACTCGGACGAACGCTTATAGTGCGCGCAAAATAAGATTTCAAAATGACGGGAAAGTAATGACATTACGGATAACGAGATAAGGAAGGTCGGACACGTCGGATTTTTGCAGTCAGTATTTTTGCAATTATTACCAGCCGCGTAATACAACGAAATGTTTGGCCCGCGCAACGACGATATACATGCCGCGCGTTCCCGACACTTTTCTTCTGCACTCGCGTCCTTGAAACGACTCGCGAATGACGAAAATCAATACTCCGAACGCCCACGCGCCTCCTCGCTTTTTCACGGCCACGAAGAGCTTTTCCTCCGAAGCACGAGCTCACCGATAACAATTGCTCTAGCGGTGACGACTCATGGCAATTAAGATACAATGGCGACGGAAGGCGGGGGAATTGGCGGATGAGAGTGCAATCGGGGAGCGACTGCGCGACCGTGGCCTCTTGTTAAGAGAAGCACGTGGTCGGCTTAGCCAAGTCGAGGAGCAACAATGCAGCTAAATTTCGAGATACCGGATGGTCGGACCGCGGATATACCGACGCCACTACTCGTCAAATATCAACTAACAATACAATGTGCCATACACTCTGTATTATTTGCCCTTCCCGTCTCGTTTTCTTTCGTTATCTACCTTCAGTGGCGAGAGCGCGCGCGCGCATGCAAGCCTGGGGCCAGAATGCACATTTGAGGTTAAAGCGACGTTGCGCAAAAATTGAAACGTAAATGTAAACGGCTTACCTCCCGTGAGCACGAGCTTGTAAAGCCTTTTCTGTTCCATTTTCTCCACGGCCGGGGGTAAAACCCGCTCTGGAAAAAAACTATCTTTGCACGATCCGTCAACTTCTTCTCAATCTCCTTTTAACTGGGCCCCCCCCCCGCACTCTCCTGCTTCACCCTCGCCCACCCTACTTTCCTCCGTCTCGGTCTTCACCCTGTATTATCCCTCTCTGCCCCTCCTTCGCGCTTCCCTCTGCGCGTGTGCTCGGTAGCCTTTTCTCCCTCTTCGCAAACGACAGACCACCACTGCTTCTTGGCGAGTTAAGCACCGGGCTCCTCCGCGGCGACGTTCCAATGACTTCGAGGATCAGGTATTCCCGGCGGACAATATCGCATCAAAATCCTTCCCCTAAGAGGCAGCGGGAACGCGATGACGGTACTTGATCTCGTCGCTCAGGACGCTGCGATCTGCAAAGCGCTGTTGCTGCTGCTGTTGATGCTCGACCTCGTCGTCGTCTTCGACTCTACTACCGCAGCGTTGACGATACGGCAGCATTTGAAACGGGCCCGTCGCGTCGTGTCCTCGATCGAGATCCTGGTCCTCGTATTACAAAGTCAAGGGCTCAACGCTGTTGCTAGCCCAGCAGTAACTATTATTATTTTACTATTCGTCAATCTGTAAGTTATTGCGAGTCTCTCGTTTGCCGTTGTTGCGTGCTAATGGCCGGCAACTCACTCAGCTGTTAACGACAACTAAGCAAACGTTGTCCGATGATGACTGATCAGCCTTATAACGCGAGAGACTTCTTATAATCTCCGAATAGCTCCGATTGCCCACGAACCAACACGAAGTCACGCGCAAGCGCACCGTATTATCTCTCGCCGGTCGACCCCCTCCCCTGCCCCCAGCGCGCAATCGCCATCACAGCGCACCCGCATACTATCATTTTCACGATTTTGCATTTCCGGGCCACCAAAGTATATTACATATAAATATATATATATATATATGTCATATATAAATAATATATGTCAATGCATGCATTCATAAGTACATTATGTATTGAAACATTTTTTTTAAATACCATCGCTTCTTTTTAAGCTCTTTTTTTTCTCCGCGTTTTTCATCCGCGACTGTAAAATTTTTTCTTTTGTTAATCATGTACTTACCCTTTTGTCGTGTCTATGTGTCTCTATTTTTTCATTCCAATTACAAAAATTAATTTTCGAATAATTGAATCTGAATGCGATACTGATATTGTTTATTAAGTATCTATGTGTAACATTTTGCTTTACTTTTAATTACTATCACAGAAATTAATTTTCAAACAATTAAATCTCAGTTGCAGTATCAACATTGTTAGTTAAGTACCTATAAAATTATTAAGACTTTTACAAAAATGTTCGTTTATAAGACATTACATTGACTGAATAATTGTTACATTAGCGAAATTAATCCATTGACTGACTAATCGTTAAAATTCTTAAAAATTTTGAAAATGTATATCCAATCCAAAACAAAAAAATGTATTAACTCAATTCAAAAATAATAAAGTGATTGCAAAATTCTTTATTCATTTTTGTTCATTTTTTATATTTTAGAGTAATATTTACTAATAAATATTTCATTTAAATTTGTCTTATTCGATAAATTGTAAAAAGAACTGTAACATTTTAGAAAAAATACGATTATTGTCAATATAATATTTTTTCATCGCCTTTAAACCTTGTTAGAGCTTATAATATATCTGTAAAGTAAAAGTACATATTTGATTTGACTTAACAGTGGGACTAACTTACTTATTAATATATGTGGCTTGTTTTTATCAAGTTTAATTAAATTTCTTTTCTATTTCAAATTTACATAACATAAAAGTCTTTTAAACGATAATGTATGAATATTTTTAAAGTATACGATTTTGTTACACCGAAAATCACACTTAAATATATCTATTTTTCTAAATAAATTTTTATATATTTAGTATAAATTACATTTACTTATATATATTTTAGCTGAATGTATAATAATTTTTTTGTAACGACGACTATACTTGACTTATACATATACGCAAAAATTTCTTGAAATTACGCTTAAAATTGTTTGAAATTACAATATTTCTTTGTATAAAATATAAAATTTCGTTTTATATATATAAAATTGGCATTTTTATATTATTAAATGGAAAATAGAATCAGATACTTTTTAATATTTAAAATAAATAATAAACAAAAATAATCACTTTGAAAAATAAAACACAAGAATTAGATAATATGTATTGATTGAGATAAGAAACGTTATAAACTTATTAAATCGTGTGATATTTATTATTTCAATTTTTATAGTCTATGAAGCTTGTGGCTTGTAATTTTGCCTATACACTTCCTGCATTCATAATTAAAAATCGATTTATAAATAAAACTACAAATGTAATGTTATAATTAAGTTATAATATACGAGATCCATGTTGAATATAATTTTCAATAAACATATTATTATTTCTCTTCTCTATTATAAATAATTTGAATATTTTCAATTTTTATACTACAATTAATTACAATAAAGTCATGAATGAATATTGTTTTATATATTCATTTAGCTCAGAAAATTTTATAATAAATATTCTGTATGTTATATACATAAAATTCAACTTAAGTAATTGAAAAAACGTTCCTAAGAATTATTAAAAAATATTTAAAGAATATTATCATTATTTTGTAAAATGATTTCTTTTAAATTATAGAATTTTAAAATTCTTAATTAACAATTTCACTAAAAATAATTTTCGCAAGCAAAATAAATAGAATAAAATATTTTTAATGCAATTTGAAATTTTTCTTTTAAAAAGTATGAATCGTATAATATTCCTAAGTTCTCATATTGAGGAATTATATCAAACTACATTTTGTCTTCCTGATAATCGCGTTTTATCTATTATAGATTATTTCGGTTACTGCATGATAGTCGCTAAGGACTATTAATTATAATATTTGTTTAAGGTAAATGTTGCAAACCTCATTGAAATTTGGTCGAATGTCCTATGTACAGGTAAAATATTAAAAAATATAATGAGCTATATATGAATAGTGCTTTGGTGTATGATAAAGTAAATACTTACATTAAAAACACATAATAGATTATCGCAATGAAGTCATACAACAATGTTTATATTTTGTACAAAAAAAAAAAAAAAAAAAAAAAAAAAAAAAAAAAACATGTATATAAGAGATAAATAGATCGATTTGTTGGATGGGATGGATTGGGGGGGGGGGGGTGTCCGAACATAAGGAAATTACGAAGTAGAGTAAGACATTATGAGGCACGTTATTCAAAATATAGTAAACTGCAGGATAAAGAAATTTGAGTATGAGTGAACTTATGTAAATATGTATATAGGAAAGATTTATGCATACCGTTCTTTAAATATGAAATAATAAAATAAAATATGATTATTACATTTTACCAGAAAGTTTCAGGTTTCGGCTACTACTGTACTTATTATATTAGGAAGGTAGAACAGTCATGTAATAGTTAAATATGAGATTGACTAGCATTACTGTCGTAAGCACACGACCTTCAAAATGATCTTATAAAGATTTAAAATGCCCGACATTTACCCTTTTTATTGAAAGCCTTACTATATACTGCATTACTATAGGCTAACCTCTGATTTTCTAATCTCCTTGTCACTAGGAGGATTAAGTCTAGGAATCAGAAGTACGCGCCAATACAAGCGTAAACATGTATGTACTTGCGATTCTGAGCTTATAAATAAAAACGTTCCATTATCTCTTTCATTTGTATTTCATTGGAGGCTATTTATCTTTTTAATTTAATCATTATGTAATATTTACAATCTTAATCAGGTATATTTTTTATATAAAAAAGTTTAAAAACAGGATATTATATTCTATTACTTTATTTCAAATGTTCAATAAAATATTTAAACTATCCCTAATATTAACGGGTGATTTTTTGTGGTAATAACAATTTTCTTATATTTTATCAGAATATGAATCGAGTGATTTTTGATAAATTTTTTAAGCGTGAATATAAAAATTTAAGAGCAATTATTATTTTAATTTAACTTTCAACTTTCCAACGTTGTAAAGTTTTTTTCCTACGCATATATGCATTTATTATTTACACATTACATGTAAATTATTGTAAAATCTTAATTTTATAATGAAATATATATATATATATAACTTTATGTTAAAGTAACTTATGTAATTTACTTAAAAATAAAAATAAAAAAGAGAAACATAATGTTTTATTAGAATTCAAAACGTATTATTTAATGTGACTAAACTTGAATGACATATAAGTTTGCTTTGTGTTTCTGATGAGTTACAAGTTACAGACTTAGAAACAGTAAATAAACTTGAGGCCTGCAAACCAATCTTATTCTAAATAATAAGAAATGCAAATTGAAGCTTTTCTAAATTTCCTTTGAAATTAAATAGCAAAATTAAAGATATTTGATATAACCGTTTGTATCAAATTTTTAATATCAATATACGTACTTACGTATACTAATCATTACAATTTTTATTATGAAATTAAACATTTATTTTAATATTATTTATATATTTTATAATAATAAAATATTGTATTATAAAAATTTTTATAATGATAGGTAATGTACTTTTTATATGAAATTGGCCCTAGAGATACAAATATATGTTTATACTTGTTTCTTCAGCAATAGTAACAGCATTCTACTATACGTTCTATCATAATGTTCGGTTCGAAAAAGTATATAATGAATTATATTTTATTTGCATAACAGGAAACATTAATAATAAACGGATGTTTAAATACTGATATATCATAATACTTCTTAAACTAAGATACTCCTTTTATTAAGCATTTTACGTAGAATAACAAGTCCAATTAGTTTCACCTTGAATTTTTTAAGCAAAAACTTCATCTAAAATAATTCCAAGCACATAATTGTAATTTTATTTGACTACATTCCTGCATTTTCTATGATTGCATTGACTCATGTTTGTGTATGGATCAGTGCATCATACTGCAGTAAAATATTTCATTTAAACGACGTGAAACGTAGTCAATTAATTTACTTATTGTAACCATTAAATTTCATTTATTGCTCAGTACGCTTTATGGAATCGTATTAAATACAAAGC